ATAATTTTAGACTTTTAAAAGGTTTTACGACAATCTGAAAAGGATCCAGCGATATAAAATTGTATTCTGTAGATGTTTGCTTTCATTAAACATACAAATTTGTTATCCTTGGGTAAAAACATAAGGCAATAACGAACCAAAAACTATCGTTTTAAAAAATAGTTTATGCCTTATTTTTTCTTCTAGGGTAACACATTTGCATGATTGAAAAAAGCAAACTTCTAAAGAAGAAAGTTTTAAAATGTTGGAATATCTCATATGGTCGTAAAACCTTTTAAAACTAAAAACATTAAAAGTTTTTAAAAGCAAATCTGGCCATTGCCCATCCCTATCTACAATAAATTAAAAAAAAACCTAAAGCAATATATGTAAACAAAGCCCCCCCCCCCCCCGCGAATAGCCTCTGAAAGGCACAAATGTGATTTAAATTAAAGTAAGAAATTTAAAAAGACGACATTTAATTTGACTTTTTCCATCATTAGATTACTAAGATGCTTGGAACTTAATGTTCAGAATTACAAAAAATAAGAAATTAAGAAGCAAAATGAATATTAAGAATTTCGAACAAATATTACAATTATCTTAAATTCATACATGCTTGTATCAAATTATTCATTTTAAGAAGTTTTTAATTAACAATTGTTAGATGGTTTTCATTAACATTGCTATTTGGATTTTTTGTTGATTTTTAATTATGAAAATTAAAATTGGTAAAGTGTTTTATAAACCTGCGTTTCCTGAATTATCCCTGCAGTTGCCTCCAGGAAAGATTCAACATCTTTCACTGTAAAAACTGCATGAACTCTGATCTCTCCCATGTTTCGACCTTTCTAGAAAATTTATATTTTCAAAAATGCATATTAAGGGGGGGTGCATCCCTCTCTTTTCTTTTACACTTTTAAAAGATCTGTTTCAGCAATCTAGTATTACTGCTAGAAAGTATAGACACTCCTCCTTCATGGAAAACTAGTTCTAAATCCGCGTCTCAGAGTATGTTAAAATACACAGCTGATAACACGCTGCAGGGTTACTGAGTACATTTATAATTCTTGAAACAATAAGCACCAACTTTTAACTTTTCCTTGTACTGGCATTTCTAAAATGTCGTCTGCCTTTTTTGTGCTGTCAATTACCTGAGATATTAAGAATTTTGTTCAGATTTCAATTTTATTAAATAAATCCAAACTTGTTGAAATCTAAACAAAGGTTTTTCAGATCTCGACAGGCCGGTATATCCAATATCCAAAAATAATAGATCTCTGTTTTATCGGTACATCTCGTACATTTCCTGGGTACATCTCGTACATCTCCTGGGTCATCTCCTGGGTTCATCTCCTGGGTATTTGTGATTAGTAACGCTTAATTTTTTTACTTCTAAAAATTATGCTTACGAATAAACTTCTCAAATTTTGCAAAGATCAAAGACAACCTTGAAGTTGTCATGTTTCGTGAGACAACCTGTATGTGATTCCTTTGCGCGCAGTGAGTAGAAAGTGTTAGTCCTTCACCACTTTTGTTAATTTAAAATCCTACATTTTCTATATAAAAATATGCTGAATATTGATCTTTATTGCATGTCCCTGGTGGGGTTAAAGAAGGTGTTTTAGAACCCCCCCCTTCCCCAAAAAAGAAAAAAATCGACAAAATTACAAATGTTTATTTAAAGATAAATATGTATATAGTCGTCATCGTATCTTTTAAAAAAATGAATAAATATATATGTATATAAAAATTAAATAATTTTAAGAAAACCGGTCCCTTTACAATACCCTCTAACGAACTATAAAGCCTTTTCAGGTGCGTTGCGCCCCTTTTTTTCTTAAGAATTTGATCTTCATTTTATTTATTAAACTCTGCAAAAAAAAGGTGTTCAAGGATTTTTCTGTTTAAACTTGTGGATTTTAAAAATAATAAATGAGAATATTTTTTCTTCTGGCAAAATTTTTCAAACTTGACCTTTCCTTTGGTTATGTGAATTGAATTTGAGCCCATAGGATTGGCCGTGCTAGATGCAAAAATACAAACAAACAGACAGACAAGCCAAATTTAATTATATAGATGCAAAAAAAGAGGAAAATTGAACTTTTCAGACATAGAGATTTTTAAGCATGCCAGAGTATAAAAGCCTACAGTGATTCGCCAAAAGTTCCAAAAGTTATTTATAAAGTTGGAAAATTTAAAAAATCTTGTAATAAGATAAACATTTATTATAGTAAAATAACAATAAAACATTTATATAATTATAATATATTGGATTACAAGAAGGAAGGAAGAGTATCACATTTATTTAGGGAATAAAACGGAAACCTTTAATAAACATCTATATTAACAGTGCTAAAGAGGCTGTAGTCAGAATTTGAAGTGAGTCTTTATTTATAGAGTGGCATGTTCGGTTAACAAGGATACCCATTTGGTCTGATCAAGAATGCATGAGATATCCCTCATCTTTTCTTTGAAAATTGGTGGCTTCTCTTTAAAAGTTACTTGCGCATTTCTGCCGCAGAAATAATGGAGGATAGCAGTAGAGAAGCGACGAAATATTTCTCATTACAGTTCAGATAAAAATTTAAAGAGGAACACTGTGCAGAGAGTCACTTCAAATTACGACGACACTATATGTTATACCTTTTATCAGTATTTTTCTTCCACTGCAGTTGTTTTAAAACAATAGAAAATTTAAAATTCTTGTTTAACATGTTTAGCATATAAAAGTTCCCGCTATAATATTGGTACATTTGACAAATATGCTGTTGGGCCTTAAACAATCTGTTGGCATACTATCAAAATAAGTTTAACTGTGTGTTAGGGTATCAGTTCTTTTTTTCCATTAATTTGCATTAAATATCTCTTTGTTAATAAGCCCATAAATCCAGTCTGAAATATAGATTTTAACCTTTAGATTCCTTTTGTTAAACTTGCTTTGAAGCAGCTTTCTTAGATTTGCAAGGCCCATCAGATTCAGGAAGAAAGGGATTTTGATTAAGATTATAATACATGAATAAATATTCAATTAGAAATTTTCAAGAGTATAAAGCATAAAGGATTCATGGTGCAGCTTAACAATATATTAAACTTTAACCTCTTTGACATTAAATTTGCTTGCACTGAGGTCAAAACTAATGAATAAAGAGAAGTAGCTACTTCTGAACTACTTGAACTAGCCATACAAATAGTTAAGCTACTTCAAACCCTTCATTAAATCAGACCTTTGTACATTCAGTTTCAAGTGGGTTGACATCGTTTTTTCCTTAAATATTATCTGGTTTGCTTGGTAAAAATGGAACTTCCTGCTTTAGGATATTCAAGGCTATTAAGACATTCTTCTACGAATAAATATATGAATTTCAGCTGAATAACAATAATTGGTGCGTAGCTTGACATCAGTATATGGAAATATGTAACAAATATTCCAAACTACTTTAAAGTGCGTAGAAACAGCTTAGATTAAAGAGTCATAAATAATATACATATTAGATAATAAAATGTTAAAAAGTAAATATAAATAATATACATATCTGATAATAAAATGTTAAAAAGTAAATATAAATAATATACATATTAGATAATATAATGTTAAAAAGTAAATATAAATAATATACATATCTGATAATAAAATGTTAAAAAGTAAATATAAATAATATACATATTAGATAATATAATATAATAAAATGTTAAAAAGTAAAAATAAATAATATACATATCAGATAATAAAATGTTAAGAAGTAAAAATAAATAATATACATATCAGATAATAAAATGTTAAAAAGTAAAAACAAATAATATACATATCAGATAATAAAATGTTAAAAAGCAAACACATACTGTTGCCTGAAGATACATTAACACTACATAAATTACAATTACAAAGACAAGTTTAAGTTTTTTTGTTGCTTTTTAGAAATATTGTTTTCCCTGAGCTGAAAACTTTAGAATGGTGGATATCGAAATGAATGCTTGATTCTCTCTTTTTCTTAATATCGAGACTAATCTAATCTTGTACTTGTATCCTGAAAAGTGTATAAAATTCAACCACTCAGAGTCGCGCATATGAAGCCTATAAATTTTAAATTTTGCGCGCCATTTAAGATTAATATACAGAAACCTGAGGGACTCTTTAAATTAAAAAAATCTGTTTTTTTTTCATTTTTCTATACTATATCCAAGAAAGAACCGTTTATGAAGAAAATCAAAAGTGTGTCCATTGGATACTCAGATTAAGTAATCGAGATTAATGATATCTCATTTTATAGTTTTCAGCTCTGTTTAACTTAAACTAGGAGGTATATAATCTAATTTGTATTCACCTCCCTCCTCTACTTTTCAACCCTTTGTTAGAAGTTTTCCTCATTCATTTATCTTAAACTTTGGCTAGAGAAAATCTTATAAAAAGTTTAAACAGAACAGAGCAGTGCTATTTGGATTTTAAAATGGTTTACAAGAACCTGAGATGTTTATATTCATATTTAAGTCAAAATATTTACTTTTACAGAAGTTATGAACACGGGCAATGAAAGATTGTTGTTAATATATTTTTAGAAGGAAAATTTGAAGAAAAAACCTGTAAAAAGTAACGATTATTATATTTTTTTAATTCATCCAATAGCTGTGACTTTTTATAAGATTTTTTTAGTGAATTTTAACAATATTTTTATCCCTCAGTCGTTTCCCCCTTAAAATCTACTTTTTTATTTTTATATGAAGGGTTTCCTTTCCAATATTGATGGTGGGTGAAAGTAAATCAAATTACTAAGATACATATTTCTCAATATCCAATACAAATATCAATATAATATGATGGGAGGGGGGGGGGGACAGATAATTTCCCGGTAAAAAACATAAAAACATTAATCTTAACAGTTAATTTGATTATATATTTTTACAATTATATAATTTTTACAGCCATATTTTAGAGATCGTTTATTAATTTGATATGTTTAAAAAATTTAATAATTTGAAATAACAAATTTAAGATTTCTAAAAGCGGAAAATATAAATTGATATTTGATTGAAAAAGATATATTTGTATTTGTATCTTCTTGATGTTTTTTCAAATTGTTTTTTTTTTCAAAATTTCTCTATGATTCTATTCCGCTTCAGCAGGTTCTTCGTAATAATCTTCTTCTTCATAATACTCCTCCTTGAACATTTTTAAATTATAAAAAATTTTATTTTTGAAAATTTTCAACAAAAAATACCTTTTCATACTGAGTATCATCTACTGTCCCGTAATCCTCAATCTTTTCCTAAAAGTTGTAAATTTTAAAGTTTTGACATTAAGTTTTTTTTTTCTAATATCTAAATAATGTTTCATTTCTGAGCACATTTAAGTCATCCAAGATGATGGCAATGTACATTTGATTAAATATATTCAATTATACAATACATGCTTAAAGGGAGTGTTCGCAAAAAATAAAAGGGGGTATAGGCTTAATGCGATAAAAAAGCGCCTTTGATCGCTACTAATCTTACTTCTATCTGTTGCGCCTATAAGGAGAAAATTGTTAAAGACGTCTCATACCGAATAACTTAGCGTCCATACAAATTGAGAAAATTGCAACATACGACTTAGACCGTAAAAAAATCAATTTAATTTCAAACATACCATTCAGATATTACAACCTATAGTCATCGATTATCTTTCGCCACATTTGTATATAGTTTATTTTTTATAATATTTTTTAATTCATTTTTTTAGAAAACGTTTTTAACGACAAGAGAAATAATCAACATTCGGATAGAAGAAGCTAGTTATCGAATACATTTACGTTATTACTGCAGAAAAATATTATTGATTAATGAAGAAAGATTGATCAATTTGATCCACTGTGAAAAAGCATCTATATATAAAGATTTAGTTATAATTTATTCGTTGTGCAAATATTTCCAAGTTTACAATTTTCATTTGACTTTAACAGTTTAGTGTCATACTTGTAAAAAGGAAACTTTACTATATTCTTAAAAACAATATTTCGGGATTTGTAAACAATTCCAAATATAAAGGAAATGGAACATTTTGAAATGCTAGAATTTAAATTAATGGGAGAATGAATTTTGTTCCTTAAAAAGTCAAAAAAAAAGTTTTACTCTATGAACATTTAGACATCACTTTAAAATTAAAGTATTTTTTAAAAAATTTGATAAAATTATATTTTTGGTAAAAAACACCTAAAACATTTCTGAACCATATCTCTATTGCAGACTACTTTAAACCTCATGTATAGTATTCATAAAGGGGAGAGGATCTGCGCTTTTTTCATTTATAACCTTAATTAGTGTTCGATTTCCTTTATCAGAGAAATCAGATTAACGATTTATAGAGATTTATTAGAAGAAGCTAGTAAAGAAACTGAGTACTTCCATCAAACCCACAATTTAAAATGTCTACGACTCGCGATGGGCAGAGACTTCCAAAAGTCCAAAATCTTTTAAAGTTTTTAAAAATCTTTACTATCACATCACTATCTATAAAACGACATCAGGTTGCTTAGATAAAAAGATTTTGAAATTCAAATTTGCCCTATTAACATATTATTATCTTTAAACTGCCTAAGACAAATACTTTTAGAGCAATAGGGGGTCTGGGGGAATTGGTTTAATAATTTAAAACCAACCTTTTCTGAATCTATGAGAGGTTCCTGTGGGTCAGCCCAGTCCTGTTTCTCCCCGCTAGCCATCAACCCGTACATCACTGCTCCCAGGAAGTAGATCAAGGAGGTGATCAGGAATACATTTCTCCACTCATCTGCAGTCTACATATCATCATTATCATCATCATGTTGGAGAAGATCATGTTCATAATCAGTTTGGAGATGATCATGTTCATCATTATGTTGGAGATGACCATGTTCATCATCATGCTGGAGATGATCATGGTCATCATCATGTTGGAGATGATCATGATCATTATCATGTTGGAAATGATTATGCTCATCATTATGTTGGAGATTGTCATGATCATCATCATATTGGAGTTGATCATATTCATAATGTTGGAGATGGATATGTTTATCATCATCATGGTCATCATCATAATGGAGATAATCAAGTTCATCATCAGGTTGGAGATGATCATGTTCTCCATCATGTTGGAGATGATCATCATCATGTTGGAGATGATCATGTTCATCATCATGTTGGAGATGATCATGTTCATCATCATGTTGGATATGATCATGTTCTTCATCATGTTGGAGATGATCATGATCATTAACATGTTGGAGATGATCATGTTCATCATCATGTTGGAGATGATCATGTTCATTATCATGTTGGATATGATCGTGTTCTTCATCATGTTGAAGATAATCATGATCATCATCATCATGTTGGAGATGATCATGATCATCACCATTATGTGGAAGATGATCATGTCCATCATCATGTTAGAGATGATCATTATCATCATCATGTAGGAGATGATCATGGTCATCATCATGTTGGAGGTGATCATGATCATGATATCATGTGGGAGATGATCATGATCATCATCTTTGAGATGATCAAGATCAATATTATGTGGGAGATGATCATGGTCTTCATCATGTTGGAGATGATCATGATCATGATCATGTTGGATATGATCATGATTATGATCATGTTGGAGATGATCATAATCATCATCATGTTGGAGATTATCATGATTATGATCATGTTGGAGATGATCATAATCATCATCATGTTGGGGATTATCAAGGTCATCATCTCGTTTGAGATGATCATGACTATCATCATGTTGGAGATGATCAAGATCAAGAGCATCATCATGTTGGGGATGATCATGGTCATGATCATGTTGGAGATGATTATGTTCGTCATCATGTTAGAGATGATCATGATCAATATCATGTTGGGGATGATCATGTGCATTATTATTCTGTAGTTGAGAATCATCTTCATTCTTTAATTGTAGATCATCAATGACCATGATCATCATCATTCTTTAGATGATTAAAAGTAGCATCATTTCATAGATGATAATAATCATGATAAATGGAAAGTATCAAGGGTGCGCCATAAGAGAATTTATTTATGGTACAAAAAGAATTCTGGATACACAATGAACTCAGTTTCGGAAGCTTAAAACTGGTTTAGCAGTCTGTTTACAAACAATATAATTAGGCTAATGTCGAAACAATATGTACAGTTTCGAGTCGACATGAGGCAAAGAGGACGGTTAGATCGGGGGGGGGGTTATTCTTTTTACAGAAGATCTATTTACATATATTCAATTTCATGTTTCGGTTCAAGTCCAGGTTCAATTGCGCTTGTTTACAAACAACCACCCAATATACAATTGTACAGCCACCGAAAATGAGTTCATTGAATATTACGAAATTTGGTGATTTTTGAGTACAAAATTTTCTTATGGCCTTACCTCACCTTGGTAAATATATTCATAAAAATAGTGCAGTTAACCTTATATTGATCATAACTTTGTAAATGATTTTTGACATTACAATTTATTATTCATGTATGCTCATGATTATGATATGATATTAATTATGATCTTGGCTATATAAATTATTAATTTTGGTCATACTATTAATCCTAATCATTTTGTTGATCTTGGTCTTATTATTTATCTTGGTCATTTTATTAATCTTGGTCTCGTTATTGATCTTGGTCATTTTATTAATCTTGGTCTTATTATTGATCTTGGTCTTATTATTGATCTTGGTCTTATTAATCTTGGTCTTATTATTGATCCTGGTCTTATTATTGATCTTGATAATTTTATTAATCTTGGTCTTATTATTGATCTTTGGTAATTTTATTAATCTTGGTCTTATTGTTGATCTTGGTAATGTATTAATCTTGGTCATATTATTGATCTTAGTCATTTTATTAATCTTGTTCATATTATTGATTCTTGATCTTATTATTGATCTTGCTAATATTATTGATCTTGGTCTTATCAATCTTGGTCTTATTATTGATTTTCATAATTTTATTGAAATTAGTAATTTTATTAATCTTGGTCTTATTATTGATCTTGGTCTTATTATTAATCTTTCTTGGTCTTATCAATCTTGGTCTTATTATTGATTTTGGTCATATTATTGATTTTGTTCATATTATTGATCTTGTTCATATTACTGATCTTGTCTTATTATTAATCCTGGTCATATTGATGATCTTGGTCAGTTTATTAATCAATTGACAATATTTGCATACCGTTACATACATGTACCAAAAATATGTATGTATTGTATAAAAATGAATGTTTACCCGATCTTTGACAATAGCTCCAGTTACAGCTGGACTAAGTATTCCAGGAATAGTACCAACAGTGTTAGATATTCCCATAAGTATAGCAGCATAGTTAGGAGCTACATCAAGATGATTAACTCCGAACCTGACACACAAAATAAATTTAAAGGGACTGTCGTTGTAATTTTAAGTGACCCACCATTTAAAGAGAAACATGAACGATTCACAAAGGTACCTTTGAAACCTTAATCTGATAAATAAAGATAAAGAAAAAAATTTTGTTAAAATTTTTTTCTAATTCTGATAGTTTCTCCACCAGTTCTCAAGCAAATAACCTTTTTTAGAGAAGCCACGATTGAAAATAATCAGTTTTTTAAAATGAAAAACATGGAAATTTAATTTCTAAGGATATCGTTTTTGTATGGAAGGGGGGGGGGTTACACAGAGTAGACAGTGGTGCATCCCTCTTTTAGGGTAAAACAAGCTCTTTTCCTAAATTTGAGGGCGGGGGGTGCACGATTTTGCCCCTCCCCCTCAACATTATCTAAAACAACATGAAAATAAGAAATATAAAAAAAATAATGTTTTTTACCCTGCCCATGTTAGTCCTCCTAGTCCTAGAGCCAGAGACATAAATACTGTAGAGAATGCCCGGGACATCACCAGAGCAGTTAAAAGCATAAACATACTCTAAATAGGAAATCTATATGATAAAAAATACAGTAAAATAATCTATACCGTACCAGTAAAAAAACACTATTTTTTATTGTAGGATGAATTTTTAAGGCTAAAAAAGGAAACGTAGATAAAAAATGATTTTTGAGAAAAAGAAAAAAAATCCCCGCAACTATTTTTTAATCTAAAAACAAAAAGTTGACTAAAAATTCGAAAATAAATTAATTGTGCAGTTTTTATGATAAAAAATTCAAAACCACTTTTTTAGATGATTAATTTTCAAGTAGACTTAACAATATATTTATATTAACCAGAACAAATGTATTTTGATTATTTCATGATAATGTTTCATGTATAAAGTATAGGTTATTTAATGATTAATAATGATACTTAAAATGATTAATAATTGTAATATGAAAATTTGTATAATATTCAAATTATATTTTTAAATATAGTTTCCAGTTTTATGGTTTCTGGGTATATTTTAAACGTGCCAACTTTTCTAAATTTTAATATATTTTTACTTTGATGTGAATTAACAAGATCCAAAGAGTTCTAAATTTCTTTTTAAGGGACTGTAAGCTTGGTATCACATGATCCCTAATTTTGAGATTTCAACGCACGATTTACAACGGTTCCCTTTGCCCGATAAAAATCCATGTTTATATTTCAGAATTGTTATTTATCTACAAAAGTGACTTGCGCATTTCTACTGCAAGGAAACATATAGAAAATATTTGAAATAAACCTTTTACATTTAGAAAAACGACAATATTTACCAATTATTGATCTGGTAAAGGTTTCAAGGGTACCCTTGCGAATGCGGCATTGTCATCTTTACAATGTAATTTCATAAAATGGCCGTTTTAACAATAATTCTTCTTTTTATTTTTGGTAAAAAAAACATCATTTATTATTTTTCAATAAGATTATTGATGTATAAAGAATATCTGGCGGAACCATAACAATTTATAACTTTTCTCTGCAACATTGATATATTGTGCTTTTTTTCTTAGTGAATATTTTTTTTTTGAAAACATTATAAAATGTTAAACAAAAGGAAACATTTTCTCTTTATTGTATGAAAGAAAAAAATCTTTCTTAAAGCATATTGAATATTTATCGTTAAACCAAACACAAATAAGAAAATATTTCAGAAAAAATACATTTTTATGAAAATATTCGTTGTTTGAAACTAATAAGTTTTTAATGAAGGAATTTAGACGTGACCTGACCACATGTGAACAGACTCTGAACTAACCTGACCCATGTATGCACCATATGTGAACAGACTCTGAACTAACCTGACCCATGTATGCACCATATGTGAACAGACTCTAAACTAACCTGACCCATGTATGCACCATATGTGAACAGACTCTAAACTAACCTGACTCATGTATGCACCACATGTGAACAGACTCTGAACTAACCAGACCCATGCCTGCACCATATGTGAACAGACTCTAAACTAACCTGACTCATGTATGCACCACATTTGAACAGACTACTAACCTGACTCATGTATGCACCACAGGTGAACAGACTCTGAACTAACCTGACTCATGTATGCACACAATGTGAACATACTCTGAACTAACCAGACCTATGTATGCACCATATGTGAACAGACTCTAAACTAACCTGACTCATGTGTGCACCACATGTGAACAGAATCTGAACTTACTTGACCCATGTGTATGCACAACATATTAAAAGACTTGGAACTAACCTGATCCATATATGTGCCACACGTGACCAGACTCTGAACCAACCTGACATGTATGTGCTGCATGTGAACAGACTCTGAACTAACCTGACATGTATGTGCCGCATGTAAACAGACTTTAAACTAACCTGACCCATGTATGCGCCGCATGTAAACAGACTTTAAGCTAACCTGACCCATGTATGCGCCGCATGTAAACGGACTCTGAACTAACCTGACCCATGTATGCGCCGCATGTGAACAGACTCTGAACTAACCTGACATGTATGTAAACAGACTTTGAACTAACCTTACATGTATGCGCTGCATGTAAACAGACTTTGAACTAACCTGACCCATGTATGCGCCGCATGTGAACAGTTTCCTGATGTGCGTTGTTGTCATCTTTCCGTTTGCACGGAATGTGTCCGCAAAATAACCAGCAATCTAAACATTAAGGCACTTAATTTTTGCCAAAATATAAGTCTTTCTTTGTCCAAGTTATGAAATAAAGACCACTGTTGTGAATCGTGCATACCACTCTGCAGATACAGGATCACGTGAGAATAAGTCTACAGTCCCTTTAAAATCTGATAAATTTTTTCATTTTGCAAACTATAGTTATTTCAAATCTGATCCTGGCATTTGACAAGTTAACTTTTAAAAAAAACTTCCCTTTAGAAATTATTTTTTTTTATTTAGGGAACGTTCCCATTTTCAATCTTTTTTATCATTTTCATGGTGCATTCTTTCCTTTGATGAAGAAATTTTATTTCAAATTTCTCCTCCCACACTTCATTCTCCAGAATTTAGATTGGTCTGGGAAACGTTATTCATTCATTCAAGAATAGATGAGAAGTAGGAAAAGTAGGAAAATCATCAGACCAACATATTTTAATGGCATCCTACTGAAATTTTTTTTATTAGAAGTTTGACAGTTGGGAGACGATCATTAAAGATTGTCTTTGATCTTGTAAATAATTGCGACATACATTTGTCATGGACTTTTACGAGTAAGAATTTTGAAACCAAAATCACAAAATACTGGAAATAATAAATTTACAATTTTTTGATAGACCTAAATTATCTACATAAGTGTGAACAAAAATCTTTATATCTTCGGTCAAGTTTCCTTTTACATTCTGATTACAAGCAAGGTTATAATGAAAGGAAAGTTATTTCAGAGGTGTACGCATCTTTTGTACTGCAGTGTACTGCCTCTGGGTGGTAATGTAAACACAAGACGGAAGTCAAAGCCTGTCATGGGATCCATCTTTTACATAACAAATCAATGAAATATTCTGGTCATAGGAAACTATTATGTGAATTATCAAAACTTTCAAAATTCAATGCTTTTATCCTCCTCGGATACTAAACGACAACTGATGCATCTATTCTTGTTTATAAATTCCGCCCAGAGAGAACTGGTTTCAATATGTACTCAAAGTATACGCAACTGCAATTAACTTTCCTTGCATTATTACCTTGATTACAAGGCCCTTTTTCTGGCTTTAGATTAGAAGTATTTGAAAAACTCCTAGTTCAATTGTTGCTTCATAGTCTTAGCTTACCTGGACAACAATAGTCATGAGAATGTAAGGGAAAGCAGCCATTAGACCCGCGGCATCTAGAGAATAGTCCAGAACATCCCTAGAAAATTAATCAATCAATCAATTCATCAAAGGTTTAGCAGTGGCTTATTATTCAATATTTATTTAATTCAATCGATCAAATATTAAATCAATAAGGCATTTTTAACATAGCAATATTAAGATCAATAAATCAATCCCTTTCTATTAATCATTTATTTAAGTTAGTTTAATCAATGGTAAAGTTGTTTAGTCTCAAAAATAATCGTATTTTTTTGGATTAAGTTAGTGAATAATTTATTTATGATTGATATAATTCATCAAATTTAAAATTTATACCAGAAATTGTTATAAAATCTTAATATTGTGAAAATGTATAATACCTCATAAACATTGGAAGACTGGTAAGCAGTGTGTAAAATCCCCAGTTTTCAGTGAAATGGGCAATGATGATTGCCCAAACCGGTTTGCTAGAAAACATGGCGCCCCATGGTGGGTTCATGCCAGCCTACAAAATTCAAATGTTAAGCCTCTTCTTTACTTACAATTTTTTTTGGGCAAATTTAAGATGTACTGTTTACCAAAATTAATTGAGCAAAGAAATTTTTATTTTCACTTAAAAAAAGCAAATCGATATGTACGGTAGGGGGATATTTTACATATTTTACAAGTTTAGCATTCTTATCCTCATACCAATGAAAAATTGTTGTTAATATTTTGATAAAGTTAGTGCCTAATGGTCATATAAACATGTTGCATAATATATATAAATGTGTAGACCAACTTAATGTATCCCCCTGCCTTTAGTAGACTCGTATTAAGTTAAAAGTTTAAAGGTGTCACAAATTAAAAGAAATATTTTGACCCTGCAGTTTCTTAAAAACTTTGTTGTTTATGAAGAAATTCCTTATTTTCATTGTTTTAAGATAGTTATTGCTTTCCTGAGCCCGCAATTTAAAAGTTTCTGCTCGGGTCGTATTTCCATAAACCCCGCTTTAAGACCCACATCTGACGACAGCTTGTGTCACATGATTGACAGCTTTGTAATCTTGGGCTCTACTTACAATGGTAGACCCATTGAAAAAAACCGACCTTGGTTGATTTCATTGGAGAATAAGGCTCAATGTTGGGTTAAAAGTTTAAACCCGAGTAAAACCCAGACCCAAGCAAAGCTCAATCAAGCTAGAAATCTGTCTGCTACAGAGAGAAAGCTTTCTAAACAGTCTCTAATTGGTTGAATCAGAGCCAATCCTGACTTGGGTTCTACCTGAGCCCAACTCTGGGTTTCACTCGGGTTTAAGCTTTTAAAATCTCATCTCTGGAATGCGCTAACTCCAACCATGAAAATCCGCAAAATTCAATTTAAAACCGGTTTTAGAATTCAACTCAATGGGAAATTTGAATGCATAACTTAAATTCTAAAGCCCAAGCTGTAAATAAGGCCCAAGAACAGCTTAGACCAGAGTCGTATTTTCTTGAATTTCTTAAAGCGGGGGGGGGGGGGGGGGCTCTGTTTTTAAATTGCTTGGTTTCACTTCATCATAATACGTTGTTATTTTTTGGTATCTTGTAAGTTATTTTCCTTTTTTATAATAAATGCTCTGATGTTGGAATTTATATTTGAATTTCATGTTCGAATAGATATACAGGATAAGGTGGTGTGACATATATAATAAATATGCAATTCAAAATACTAAAACTTAAGCTTAAAAGCATTGAAATTTATTGAAATTCAGGGTGAAAGTTAAAGAAGATTTTCAAACCTTCATTTAGAAAGCATTGCAGAAATTAGATTAATATTGATAAAAATAATTGATTTAAAAAGGAAAGACATCATTCACCATAATTTTTATTACATATTCTATATCTTTTAAATCTTTTCTTTCCAAACTCATCTTTTCTGTGTTGATCATAATGACAGTACTTTTGGTAAGCATTGGAAAGCCAACGTGACTGCAGTCATAGAGACAACAAAGATCTTTTAAAAATTTTATATTTACATCGATCTAATGAATACTTTTAGGCATGTTAAATTTTTATTTTTACTTTAATTTGTATGCTTAATAAAAGACACTTTTTCAAAAATATCCTGTGGTCTAGAAAGAAGACTGCGTTCTTTTTATACAGGGTGTCCCAATAAACATTGAAATTCAGTGACGAGCTCGATATCGTCTTTGTTATGAATTAGCATTGTAATACCTAATTTCAAAAGCCATAATATGTTTATGTCTGCTAGGGTTTATTCAACGAAAACGTTAAATTGCTGTAAAGATGTGTCTATAATGTCTCCGCAAAATGAACAGTGAAGACGGACAAGTTTAATCTGTTTGTATACTGTATTGTTCTTTTTTTTTCTAAGTAACCGTATGCAGTCAAAACAGATACAAACAAATTTTAAACATAGCAGACGCAAATCTTACGGATTACAGCTTTTTCAATAGGCATCACTATAATAATTCAATGAATCTATATATAAAGGAATTGAGTCTTTTCCACAAACTCAAATTTTTAAACCTCTATTTCTTTTCAACCAAATAGCGTAATCCTTTGATATTTCAAACTTAGACTTTTTGATCTAACAGAATGCATAGTTTGAAATATCTAAGGTCTACGACATTTGGTTGAGAAGATATAAAAATTAGAAAATACGATTTTGTTGCAAAAACTCATTTCCTTTGGCTTGTCTGTCTGTTTGTTTGTATCCAATAAACGTCAAAACGGCTGAACCGATCAGGCCCAAATTGCTTCATACTAATAAAAAACCATAGTAACATTAGTAACAAGGGAACATTTATCTATGGTTTTTATAAAGAGGGATGTGAATATAATATTCAATATGACCATTCTATTTTTGTTCTATATGTACAGTATATACCTGCTTCAGGGTATATAGTGTCAAGAGGTAATACAAATACAGTGTATAATTGATCTCCTGGGAGGTAATTAAGAACACAGTTCTAATGGTTGCTAAGCAAGTTATTCCTCAGAGAGTATTCAAGAAAGAACGATATAAGAGAAAAAATTAAACATTTTGAAATATAATAAGTATAACGTAAAGAAAATATTTTGTAAATACATATGAAGTATCAAAATTGATGCGACTTAAACTATTTTGTTTTTCTTCATTTACAACAAACACATTGCACACTGCACACATGGACACAAAACTAGCCAATAATGAAATTATGACCACTTGCTAATTAGTATTAATTAATTGAGGAAATTTTTATAGAAAAAAAACATTGGAGAAAGAAAAAGGAGAGTTTTAAAGCAATTGTTTAAATAGATGCTTCACCAGAATTCGGTTTCAATAAAAGAATTCGTAAAATGTTGGCTTGTAAATCAAGCTGTGTTTGATGCCGCTGAAGGTTTAGTAAACAAAATGATTTATAGAGCTGGGAAACAGATTTGTTTCCAAAATGCATACTTAATTCATCAAGATACAAAATGTCCGCAGAACTTGATCATAAATAGGCTTGGAAGACATTTTTATAAATATTTTGTTTTGTTCAAACTCTTAGATAATACTGTAGATCAATCTTAAACTTGACTTCAACTAAGTTTAAACATGTCTAATGTTTTTTAATCTCTCATATCTAAAATTATTTTAAGAAAATTATAGGGGCAAATGATTCAGTTAAAATGTATGAATAAAACATAGACCAACCTCCTTGGTGGTGACTCCGATAGTGTTCCTAAGGTATTCCAGCTCAGCGTCGGTGATGCTTCTGTCCTGGTCCGGGGAATCCTCTACAACAGCCCACCAGACAACACACCAGATCAGGGCTATACAACCTAAAAGAAGATGCTCTGGTGCAAAGTAGTAATATTGTGAACAGACCAGATCTATCTGAATCTTTTAAATTTGCGCTGTAACAACATCAAATGCACTTCAGTACTGCATAAATGTCGTCTTCCTATTCTACAGTTTTCTGGTTATCCCTGTAGGTTATACTTCAATGTTAATCTGACCTTTCCCCTAATGTATAGGATTACTATGCTAAGTAGTGGTAAGAAGGAGATCACTGGTCTGATGCTTCTTAGAAAAGTACAGTTCTTCTTTCTACTTTTAGTATTTATGTTTAGATCAGGGTTACACAAAACAGACTTTTTTATTAAAAAGAGAGGAGGGTCTTTTGCTCCATCATGCAGGACTGTATACAAAAACACGCAAAAAATGTGGACTGGAATTGTTCTTCATACATAAACAAGAAAAATTTATAAAAATTAATTAAGTGAGAAAAGGATTCATTTAAAGACAATGCTATTATTGTGTTTCAATTTTATTTTCTGAGAGGAGTGGTTTGAATGGTAAAGATAGATTACTAAAAATATGTTTACGACTATGATAATGAAGGAAACATAATATTTTCTCCGGATGGAAATCAAATTACCAAAAACATAGAAGATTGCGTCCCATCCAATATACTCCGCTAGCACTCCAGCCAAGGGCATGGTTATCACTGTACCCATGTAGATTCCTAAATATATTATAGATTTTTTAAATTTGTTAATACTGAAGTTGTATTTTTCATTTAATGAGTTTCAACTCCACCCTTTGAACCTTTATATAAGTAATAATTATCTCATTCATTGTTATAACGTAAATGTTTAAAGCATACCGGTAAAATCAGACATGTCACATATCCATGAATCAAAGAGAGCCCCTTGAAATTAATTCTACATTTCTTTCAAGAGGAGTGGCAAATTTAATGCAAAGAGCTTCTTAATCAATAGCACTGACAGTTTACTATAGCATCCTAAAAAATACTTTTAACTCAATCATGTAAAAGTCATCTTTATTTAATAAATTTAAGTGGAGAAAACAGCATCACTCGATATATGCATTAGCTCTATTAATTAACTTGAGCTGGACAATGTTCCGTTAACGAAACGGAAGTTTTTGAAAATTAACAGAAAAGTTGGTTTGTAATGTTGAGATCGTCTACAAACGATACCTTTACAGTTAAGGAAACGAACATTCCGTTCTTACCTACCTGACATTTTTTGAACAATTTTACGTAACCGTTAACAAACGGCTTGAAAAAAGTCAGAAGGTGCCCATCCCTAGCTTTTTCCCCCAATATTTTCAACCATTCACGACTTAACATTTTTTGTCATGGAAAGATGTTAACCTGAAAATGCAAATGCTGTAATTCTGCTTTGTTCCAGGGGTGGAGCCCAGCGTGACCAGATAGCATGGATTGAAGGGTAGGTTACTCCCTCACAAAGTCCAGCAATTATCCTGATAAAACAATTATAACATATTTTTCTTCTCTTTATTTGGATTGTTCAGATGGATTAGAATATGTCAATATTTGCTGGAAATTAACTGTAGTACTTTTCCTCGGGTTAATAAATATAATAAAACAGTGCATCAGAGGAAAATTGACAATTCTAGACTTTTAGATCAGGTAGAGTAGTCTCCAAAATAATAAAGTATAAAAATACGAACAAAAATTAAAATTGTGTTAAATTAAAATTAAAATTTCCCTTCATAAACAAGATTATTGATCTTGTACGGTTAGCATCTTTAATAGGGTTTATGCTAGTCAACAATTTTTCAAATATTTAGCTATTTTCATGAAATCTTCTAGGGGTAAATTTAATTGCAAGAATCCTTATAATACAGATACCAGAAGCCTTTAGAGAAATCTTGTAAAAGATACCAATCAAAAGATGTAAGTAAACAGGTGAACTAGAAATCATTATTTGGAAGTTGATTACATTTTCTGTGTTGGAAATAGTCATAAATATACTGAAAAATTATCAGGGGTGTATATTTTAAAGAATCAACCACCCCCCACAAGAGTTTGAGGGAGTACAAACTGGAAAATTTGCGCTACAAGTTTTCAGCGATAACATTTTTTTTAAAAAAGAAATATGCCTGAAATCTTTAAACCTTCAACTTAAATAAACCTGAAGGGAACCATGAAACTAATTAACAAAATGTTAGGTAACCCTATTTATTTACTTTAAAAAATTAATTTTTCCAGAGCAGAATTACCTAGTTCCAATTAGCAGGGAGGTATGCATCCTTGCAAGGGGTGGGGTTAGCACCGTTAGAATAGCAGTTGTAGTCACTCCCCAGAGAAATATTCTCTTCCCTCCATACCTTCACATATATCCATGAATATTTTAAATTTTCTAAATTCACTCTTATAAATATTGTCTGTTTTTGTGCGCTGTTTTTGGTTATGAATATGTAGAACTGAGAAAGTTAATAAGAACAGTGACTTTCAATTTCAAATGAGATACCTTACATGAGCTGAAACTATCAAGACTGGAGGAAAAGAAAAAAAACTTCTTGTAAAGATAAAAACTAAGAAAACAAGTACCTCCGGGTATATAGGTATATACTTCGTGGTAAGCAACCCCCCAGTAATCTAGGTATATACTTCCTGGTAGCAAAGTACCCCCCAAGTATCTAGGTATATATACTACCTGGAAGCCAAGTACCCGCCCGGTATCTTGGTATATACTGCTATAGTAGCCAAGTAAATCTAGGTATATGCAACCTGCTAGCCAAGAACCCCCCAGGTATCATTTATAGGTATATACTACCTGGTAGCCAAGTTCCCCCATCGGGTATCTGGGTATGTACTACCTGGTAGCCAAGTACTTTCCAGGTATCTAGGTATAAAAACTACCTTGTAGCCAAGTACCCCCAGATATCTAGGTATATATACTACCTGGTAGCCAAGTACCCCCAAGGTATCTAGGTATATACTACCTGGTAGCAAAGTACTGGCCATGAATCTGGCAGCCAGGTACCTCCCAGGTATCTAGGTATACATACTACCTGGTAGCCAAGTACCCCCCATATATCTAGATAGATATACTACCTGGTAGCAAGTACCCCCCGGTATCCAGGTATGTACTACCTGATAGCCAACTACCCCCAAGGTATCTATGTATATACTACCTGGTTGCCACGTACCCCGTCCCCCAGGTATCTAGGTATGTACTACCTGGTAGCCAAGTACCCTCCAGGTATCTAGGTATATACTACCTGGTAGCCAAGTACCCTCCAGGTATCTAGGTATATACTACCTGGTAGCCAAGTACCCTCCAGGTATCTAGGTATATACTACCTGGTAGCCAAGTACCCCCCAGGTATCTGGGTGAAAATATATCCGTAGAAAAAGCTGGCCAAGATAAATCCTTGAGTTTTAGAGTCCCAATCAAAATCCGGGGCCTGCATACATTAATCATCTGATTAATTGTGAAACATGAGGTCTGTACTTTAGAGTGGCAACACAGCGGGCATGAGTTATGTCAATCGCTTTTGAAAAAACCGACTAATACCGAAGAACGTAGTGTCCATACAAATTCAGAAAGATGAACATTCAACTTGGATCGTAAACAAATCAATTTAATATCAAACAAATCATTGAAATATTAAAATCTTTCGACATCGATTATTTTTCGACGCATTAGAATATAGTTAATAATTCATAATAATTGTTATTTGTTAATATGCAATGCACTTAAAACGAAGTTTTTTTTCCGCTAGGTGTCTCTTCCACGTGAAATCATTCAAAGTATCGAGAATAGAGACACCTGGCGGCCAATTAGTTCGGCGTTTTAAGTGCATAACAAATAAAAAATATTATGAAATATTAACTATATATTAACGATCCGAGTCGTATGTTGCAACTTTCTCAGTTTGTATGGACGTTACGTTCTTCAGTATTTATAAGTCGTTTTTTAACAATTTTATCCTTACAGACGCAACAGATAGAAGTAGTAAGATTAGTAGCGATCAAAAGTGCTTATTTTTCGCCGTAAGCCTATACCCCCTTTCATTTTTCGCGAACACTCCCTTTAACTCAACAAGTACGGGAATGAAATTGCCCAAATACATACATTCTTTTTAAGCCAAATGAAATCTGTGTTTAGACCACTCCTGATTTTAGAATTTTTAATAACCTTGACGGAATTTATTCTCTGCCACAAATGTTGTTTTTCTGAATCCAATATTTTTGCAGCCCAAGGTCATAGACTAAATATATTTCACACATGATTATTGTTAGATTAAATCATCTAAGTTTGAAATATTAAAGGTTGCAAAGATATAAGGATAAGAAAATTTAAGTTTGTGGCAAAGACTTTGATTGCTTTCAAATAATTTTCAAAGTATATGAATGGAATCTGTGATCTATCGTGAAATGCACAACATTCTATAAAACATACAGGGTTACCCACAAAGGATGAATCTGTAAAGACGACCTGAAACTCTGAAGCAATGATTTTTTCAAGGTTTAATTAAGTCTTGATGTGGCAAAGAAAGATATTAGTTTACTATTGCATGGAATTATATGAATAAAAGACTTCAGAGACGATTGTACGTATGAATTAAGTACAATCGTCTCTGAAGTCTCATCCTTTATGTTATAACCTTAAACTAAGGATTTTGAAAAGAACATCAGATTTACCTCATAAACAGTTCCGTTGGGATAAACATGGGTTTTATTGGTAGTCATAGCTACCACAGCTACACTTAGGTTGACCCTGAAAAAGAAATATGAAAAAATGATTCTTCTTAATTTGAATTAAATTTTTTCATTTAGATAGAACGGTATCGTTTACAGATATTGGTGTTTTTTGGTCTTAAAATAGAAAATTTCTTCCTTCTCTTGTATTTACCCTATTAAAATTAATCAATTTTTGGATATAAAATCGAAGAAATTTCTATCACTTTGGCTCAAACTAAAGATTTAAGGATAGTTTAAAGGATGCAAATCTTGAAATGGAAGCTAATTTGAATTTTCGTTGACAGTCCCTTTTACTGACCTGAGCATGTAGATGTTGCAGAAACCCAGAAACGCGAGCATAGCGACCACATACCGTCGCTTGATCTTTCGTCCCAACCATGAGCTTTAACAAATTATATTATTGTTTATAGTTAGCCGTTAGCCTATACCACCTTTCACTTTTCGTGTACACTCCCTTTAAAACAATTTATTAGGCTTAGATTATTTGATCTAACAAAATTCATATTAGTTTAGACTTTTGGGGAGTGAGACTTATTTCCAAATTTAATATTTTGTGTGTGTTGACTTTTGGTTTGCTTAGTTCTTAAACGTAGACAAACAGGGATACCCAGGATGAGACTGTAAAGACGACCCGAAACTCTTTAAATTTTACAATTCCTAGGTTATTATGTTAAATCTTCTGCCTTAATATAATCTTTTATAGCTTATTCAATGACTATGCACAAAAATATTTACAGTTGAAAGGAATCATAAAAAAGGAAACAGACAGTGTATATTCTGCACAATCGTCTGTGAAGAAATCGAATCCTTTTTGGGTATCCCTGTATAATGTATTCTTATTCCATGTAGTGTTTGCTTTAAGCAGAAATGTTTAAACATAATTTTCATAGAACTAAAACTTAAAAAGAACTAAAGTTAAAAAGTCGTTTGAAGGTTTATTCTGTGATTAATGCACAAATTCAAAGTAAAAAAATACTTTTATCACTTTGGCACTAATTACAGTTTGAAAATTGAAATGAGTATTTAAAATTGAAATGAATATTTAAAATTGAAATGAATATTTAAAATTGAAATGAGTATTTAAAATTGAAAAAAATGAAAATAGAGATTGATTATTTTATTAATAACAAAGTTGGTTAATGAGTGATTTTAATATGGATTTAGTATAATGAGTCAGTAATTGAATAATCATTAGACTTTGTGATATTTTAAGATGCAATACTCAGTCAAATTTGTCAAAAATTTCATTGTAAAACAGTTTAAGAATTCAACTCACAAAATATTAATCTTAAGTAGAATTGAAAAATTGGTTTGAGTTGTGCTTTTTTGCGTGACGCGGCTGGATTTTTAAAAATCACACTTTAAAGGCCCTAAATATGCCATTTAAAAAAGTAGTTTTGCCCGGAAGAGTCAAATGTGGTGGTACGGAAGGGGAAATAGTGGTGGCTCATGGCCGCATGCCTTCCCCCCGCTCGTTCAAGTGGTTCAAGTGGGTTTTAAGAGATTTAAAGATTTACTAGGCGAAGTCAAAGGTTTGAAAAGTACCGTTGTAAATTGGGCATTGCCCTCCTCCCCATGGAGGGTATACCTTAAACCTACGTTTACAGAATCTTTACAAGGAAGGGGGTGTGGGGTGAGATTGATTGTCTTTGAAATCTTACGTTTTCTCTGGTTCTTCTCCGTAGAAGTGGGAATACTCTCCCCCCTGCTCCTCCGTCATCCTTGCAGATCAAACCTTTAGAGAACCTAAACAGATTTAAATATCAAAGGGACTGCTCGCGATACCATGAATATTAAAGGTAAGGTTTGCGATAAAATAATTATTAAAGGGAATGTTCGCAATAAACTAACAATTACAGAAAGTGAATTACCAAAAAAGGGACTGCTCGCGATAGCATGAATATTATAGGTAAGGCTTGCGATTCATTTGTATTCTCCTTGGTCTGTTTACACAATAGCACCTATATCTCTCTCTTTATTTGTATTCTTCTTGATCTGTTTACAGGCTCTTTTAATATAACATCTGCTTGCATTTCCCTTCCTCAGGTCAGACACAGTGGTGTACCTAGGGGAGGGGCAGTAGTCCTCTTGCCCCCCCTGGGAGTTCCAAAATTACAAAATTAAAAGGAAACTACGTTTAGAAAGTAACACCTGACAATGACAAAGACTAAGGATTTGTCTAAATTCACTGTTAATACAAGGAGAGAAAAATTTTAGCCTTCTAAAGAGAATACTTCATTACACAAGATGTACTATGACGGAGAGCAGACTTAACGATCTTGCACTTATAGCTTTACACCCTATAAGGCTGTCTGAGCTCTCTACTGAAAAAAATCATTGAAATGTTTGTGCAAGCAAATCCCAGAAAATTGTAGCTTAAAAGAGTTGTTGGTGAATACGTAGATTGAGTAAATTATATCTAAAAATTTCAGAAGAAATTTTGTTTATTAGTAAAAATATAATTTTTAATGATGCTGTGATTATTGATTTAGTTAGCTGTGATGGAGTTAAGTGATAAATTTGTAAAGTCAAAATTTAGTTTTTCAAGCAAAGGAATAATTTTTAGACTCTAAGGTTAGTAACACCCAAAAATGTAGTCTTTTTGGTGTATTTTTATGGTGAACAAAACAAGTCCAGGTGGGAGGGGTCTCCTTATTTGTATTCTTCTTGATCTATTTACACAATAACACCTATATCTATCTCCTTATTTGTATTCTTCTTGATCTGTTTACACAATAACACCTATTTCTATCTCCTTAGTTATATTCTCCTTGATCTGTTTACACAATAACACCTATCACTCTCTCCTTAGTTGTATTCTACCTGGCTTAACTAAACTCTGGTCTGTTTGCACAATGGCACCTATCCTTCTCTATAACTTAGTTATATTCTTCTTGGGTTACCTAAACTCTGATTTGTTTACACAATAACACCTATCCCCTTCTCCTTAGTTGTATTCTACTTGGCTTAACTAAACTCTGGTCTGTTTAGACAAAAACACCTATCCTTCTCTATAACTTAGCTATATTCTACTTTGCTTAACTAAACTCTGGTCTGTTTGCACAATAACACAGATCCCTATCTCCACAAGGGTCCATATAATTCCCAAAATAGCTGATTTTCTCGATCCCAAAATAATTTTTGCCCCCAACTTAAAAAAATGCCCCCAATTGTAAACAAAATGCCCCCAATTAAAAAAACATTTTCAAATTCCACTAACACATTTGCCCCCATTGCCCCCAATGCCCCCCAATTTAAAAAAATGCCCCCAATTAAAAAAACATTTTCAAATTCCACTAACACATTTGTCCCCATTTGCCCCCAATTAAAAAAAAAATGCCCCCAATTAAAAAAAAAATTTCAAATTCCACTAACACATTTGCCCCCAATTTAAAAAAAATTGCCCCAAATAAAAAAATTAAAAAAAACATTTTCAAATTCCACTAACACATTTGCCCCCAATTAAAAAAATGCCCCCAATAAAATAAAAATGCCCCCAATTTTTTTTTAAATTATCATTTAAAAAAATTTGCCCACATTTCTTTCAAATTTGTCAATCCGAAATGGGATTGAAAAAGGAATTATATGGACCCCTGTATCTCCATAGTGATATTCTACTTGGCTTAACTTGTGTTTACACAATAACACATATCTATTTATTCTTTTTAACTCTGACAGTCTGAGGCTTTCTCACCATAGATTAAGATAAATATTAGACCATATACAACTGCCCTTTTTTTTTTTTTTAATTTCCTGGCTTCTTAGAGATTTATAGAAACGCTATGCCTGATCAAGAAATGACGAGATTTGAGATTTGGTAATTTCTACTGCAGGAGAACATTTGGGAATTATCAGATTTGAATCTTTTAAACCAGGAAAAATTGCAATTTTTGCATGGAGGGGCACTTACAATTACGCGGACAGTCTGTTAAGTTATTGAAATGAGACTCTGTCACTGCATTTGTCTGTTCGCTACAAAAATTATAATTTAGTTAGTATAGTTTAAATCAAAGACCAAGGAATTGAGACATGAATATGTATATATATATTTATATAACTATGTGCTTACCATGACAGTCCCAGTAACAGTGAAATCGATATAAAACTGTGTCAAAATTATACGAAAACGTATATATACTGCACTGCCATTGGAGGGAGTTCTGGTTATGGGATACGGACGATCATATCTTACACATGTACGTATTGATAATTTTGACACAGTTTTATGTCAATTCTTCGAGACAGGAACGTAAGATAGATGTCTTATAGGTATCGTTCAGCTCCTGAGATTGTCATGTTTCAACCTTTACCCCCTTTCATGTTTCCTTTAGAGTCTCTTTACCCCCTTTCATTTTTCCTTTAGAGTCTCTTTACCCCCTTTCATTTTTCCTTTAGAGTCTCTTTACCCCCTTTCATTTTTCCTTTACAGTCCCTTTAAACAAAAAGTTTTCAAAAGTGTCTAGTTCAAGTCTATCTTCTAAATACAGGAGGATTATTAGTAAATTCTTGTGTTAATACGTCACTGCTACTCTAAAAGTTTAGATTGCACATTCTTATTTTTCCAAAAATAGATTGTGCGTGGGTTTACAGGAATCTCAAAATAAGTATTTCTTTTCTTGCGGCTAATATATTTCCTAGATTAAACTATTTTTAGCTTCTCATTTATTATAAAGTTTATCATTTTGGCAATAACAAAAAATTGTAGAAAATAAAAAAGGGGTGATGTTTACATTTCAATTGTAAGAATAAAACCGTGTTGTTCGTTTTTAACTGTTGCACTAACTCTTTTGTTCCCTTCACTGTAGACATTCACAGAAAATAAAATTTTTTAATAAATTAAATTAAATTTTTTTTTTGACATTTAAGTATACGTAGAATTAACCGACGTACATTTTTCAATGTTGAATGTAAAGGATATCTCACAATATTTTATGTAATTAACACTCTGTTTATAATTTCAAACTAAATGTTAGAATTTGCATAAAAAAGTTGAGATGTTTAACATAAAGCAAATTCCGATTTTGTTTTCAGCCATTTTTTTAATGGCCAACAAAGATTATTATATTAACCCAAAACAATTTTTCAAAATAATTTGACCATTACAGGTTAAGTAAATCTAAATTAAATTGCACTTACAAATGAAACCTTTCCAATCATAACTTCCCTTACTAAAGATTAAGAGCTGTTGAGAAGTTTTGAAATTTGTTTTGGTTGACATCTTTGCTCAGAGTAAACATTTAGTATAATTTACAGAGAAGAAAATTTTGAAATGGATTCAATATCTCAAATCTGTATGGAGCACCTTAAAATTGAAAGAACCTAAAAATTTTATAACAGGCCTTAAAACAAGGCCTTTCAGTATAGTTTGTATATTCAAAACCCTTGACAATAAGCTTTTATGTAAAAAATAAAAATCATGTTTCCCCGAAAGCAAAAAGATAATTTTTATAAAAAGTGTTCGTAATAATTGTGATTTAATCTATATAAAAATAGACCGTTGTGTGTACGATATAAATATATAATAATAATATATATTCTTGCTATTTATGTATATGTTGTGTAAATAGGGCTAATAATTAGTTCTAAATGATTAGATCGTGTGTGTAATGTAAACAAAACCAGAAATAAAACCAGATTTTAGAAACAAAAAACAGGTTTTAATCCTGGGAATATGTATCAGCGGTGATGTGAGCTGACCTTCATGTGAATTGTCTACCTGATCTTACTCCATATGCTGTATGTACATCATTCTTCACTATCTAATAGAAACTGAACGGTTTATATATATTAGACCCCCTGCACCATCAGAAAAAATATCAAACTTTATTAGAATCCAACCCAACCATTTTTCCTTCATATTAAAAAATTTAAGAATAGAAAATTTTTAAAACTGTTTTTCATTATTTGACCTCTATTGCAAAAGTTTTATTTTTCTACGAGGCTGTAGAGAGACCAAAGCAGCCTCCGCTGTGCCATAAGTTTGAATATAGAGCAACAATATGCAACCATATGGACCAGTACAATATCATTTTACATGTTTCTAGGCTGGTTTTAGACATTACAGACAGAGAACATATGCATCAAAAGAACACGACCACGCCCTCCAGCTTGTTGTGGTAGGCGTGGCAGTTTAAGGGCGGGATACCAGGGGAAATCTCTGTCATGAGTTTTAGTTTCCACTGTGACGTCATTTATTCATTCTCTTAGAGCCGTCCTCCCACACCTATCTATCTATCTATCTATCTATCTACAGTGATAACCAGAAAACTCTGGAATAGGAAGTCGACTTTTAAACTCAAGTTATGGCTTTGAATAGTTCAATGAATATAAGGCACAGCAATTGTGCAGTGTAAACAGACCCATTTCAATTAATAAGTAATTAAATTACTTACTAGTAAAGTTATTTGCTTTGTAACAACATCAAATGCACTTCAGTATTGCTGTAATGTCGTCTTTCTATTCTACAGTTTACTAGTTATCGCCGTATCTATCTATCTATTTATCTATCTATCTATCTATCTATCTATCTATCTACCTATCTATCTACCTATCTATCTACCTATCTATCTATCTGAATAAAAAAGGTCTAATTGATTTCATTTTTTTACAATGCTTATCTGCGTTTGTCTACGGCTGAACCGTTGTGCCCAAATTTTTGAGGCAACTCACATAACGCAAGGGAAGGTTAATGGATGGTCAGAATTGTAAAATTTTGAAAATCCACAAAAAATAGATAAATCTGAAAATTATTTTTAATTGTTTTATAATGTCCGAAGTGAAAATGGTGACATATAACAGTTGAATGTAGGTATTTCAAACTTACAAAAACTGAGATCGTGAAGAAAAGGAAAATAGATATAGTCTCATCCTCTGTGGGTAACCCTGAGTTAATACTAGCTGAAATGCCCTCGCGTTGTCCATAGAATATAAACAAATTTTGAATCATTAAAATAAAAATAGAATTTTGAAAAAAGACTTTAAAAAAAAATTTGAAAAAAAAAATTTAATTTTTTTCTTTTTCTATGTTAACTCAAGGATACAAGGTGCTACTTCATAATTGTGACTCCCAAGTTTCAGATGCTTCTGAAATGCTTCTGATAGGATGACGATGGAGAAGAATGGACAAAAGTTTCTTTCATACCCATGGGTTTCTTAAATTTAGGCCCATTTGGTCCAGCCGTTTGGCCAGCTAAAGCTAATATATATATAAATATATTACATTTAGCTTTTAGGGCGCTTCGCATCCATATTCTATTTCAATTGTGAACATTTTCTCTTTGTATACATTGCAAAACAAAAAACATAATAGTTTGCGCTTTTCGTGTTAAATATCGTGGATTTTTTTGAAATCATAGTTGTTGGAGGCAAATTTTTGAAATTTTCATCATTCATAAACCTTCCCTGGGGTCATGTGAGGTACCACAAGCAATGTTGGCCCGAAAGGTTCAGCCGTTTTGACGTTTTTTTTTGGATACAAAAAAGAAACAGACAGACAGCCAAAGTATATATATATAGAATGAGCTGTAGGGCGCTACGCGCCCATCTTTTATTTCAATTGCTAACGTTTTTTCTTTGTGTACATTTGTACATTCGTCTCTGAAGTCTCATCCTTTGTGGGCAACCCTGTAGTTCACAAAAAGAATTAAACATTTTTTTTAATAATTTCAATTTAACTTGCAGTGAGTTGCAAATACTCAAGAAAAAGCCAACACAGTAAAAATCAAGAAGTCTAAAATCGAGGATCTAACTGATTTGTCAGAAGATTACTCGTTTGTCCGAAAAGGATTACTTGTGAAGTTGTGGATGAATGTCACCATTGAGCTTAATTGTGTTTCATGTTCTCTGCTACTGTCTCCAAGATCCAGTAGATAGAATCCCTGCTGAGGAATGTATTCATGTTTCATGTTCTCCGCTACTGTCTCCAAAATCCAGTTTATAGAAACCCTGCTGAGGAATGTATTCATGTTTCATGTTCTCTGCTACTGTCTCCAAAATCCAGTTTATAGAAACCCTGCTGAGGAATGTATTCATGTTTCATGTTCTCTGCTACTGTCTCCAAAATCCAGTATATAGAAACCCTGCTGAGGAATGTTTTGTATAAGTGATGACATTTTAGACCTTTTTTTAAGGAAAGGGATTTTACTTATCTTTTGTAACTTTTTGACAAACGTGCAGTGTGAAAAGTTTCCATTGGAAATTCAAAAGAAAGAAACAATTACCTCTGTGATAATTTAAGGACTGCTGTTTGATTCTGATTCTTTTTTGTGGGACTAAGCTAAGGGAACATAAGTTTTTTCATGATCTTAAACTATCTTACACATGTTTATTTTTCTATTTAATATATGTGTACCCTGTACCCTGTGTTCTGTACCCTTTACTCTGTACCCTGTGCTCTGTACCCTGTGCTCTGTACCCTGTGCTCTGTACCATGTACTCTGTACCCTGTACTCTGTACCCTGTGCTCTGTACACTGTGCTCTGTAACCTGTGCTCTGTACCCTGTACTCTGTACCCTGTACCCTGTACCCTGTACCCTGTACTCTGTACCCTGTACTCTGTACCCTGTACTCTGTACCCTGTACTCTGTACCCTGTACTCTGTACCATGTACTCTGTACCCTGTACTCTGTACCATGTACTCTGTACCCTGTACTCTGTACCCTGTACTCTGTACCCTACACTCTGTACCCTGTACTCTGTACCCTGTACTCTGTACCCTGTACTCTGTACCCTGTACTCTGTACCCTGTACTCTGTAACCTGTTCTCTCAACCCTGTTCTCTCTACCCTGTTCTCTGTACCCTGTACTCTGTACCCTTACTCTATACCCTATACTCTGTACCCTGTACTCTGTACCCTGTACTCTGTACCCTGTACTCTGTATCCTACACTCTGTACCCTGTACTCTGTACCTATAAATAAATTTAGATCAGATCTGATCTAAATTTGATCAAATAATGTTGGGTAAAAAGTATCTTTTCTGAACTTTTTACTGACTATCAAATCCCTCTTTAGAAGTTTTTAAAAACTCCTTAGAAAAGTATATTTTTTGCACCTAAAAATGAATTATTAACTAATTAATTTATAAGAAAGTTTTTTTTTTGTAAAAAAAAAGACTACATGACTTCTACTGAATAAAAAGTCAAGGAATTTCAAAGTGATTGATATGTTTATAAGAGTGCTAGAGGGGAACACAGCAAGGAGGATGTTAGGTAAGGCATTTTTCCTTGCGGCAACTTCACCAAGTGTTTTCCCTAACATGCAACTTCCCAAATGTGCAATTTCCCAAGCTGCAACTTCCTTCGTCTGTCTTAGTTGCAGCGCTCGGCCCCTTATCCTGTAATAGCCGCAGCGCTGGTCCCCCTTGACCATCCTAGTCACATCTCTAAGCCCTCGTAACCCTCCTAACCTCTGGGAATCTGCAGTTTGAAAAATTTCACTTTGGGAAGTTGACGCTTGGGAAATTCTCACTGGGAAAGTTGCCCTTGTGAAAATGTCTTTGGGAAAATACCAAACACTGATTAATGCATTGGGGCAGTGTACAGAGGAACTCGAGGCAAGTGTGAAATAAACAAGATATTTGTTTGGCAATGACCCAGTGGGTATCTATTGAAATACTTCATAAACCAAAAAATAATGATGATAGCTCTTTCTTTGTGGGTAACCCTGTCTCATGCACAATTTTTTTTTATTTCTGTTGTAAGGTTACAAATTTTTGATTTGATTTTCTATTCTTCTTCATCTTCATCTCTAAGGGAGTTTTCTCCAAAGTTAGGAAATACTGCGTAGAGTTTCTTAGCGTCAGAGCTCACAAGAAGGGGTTCAAGCTCTTCAAATGGAGCTGAAACAACAAATACAATCTACCATGGAAAACATATTTTTCATATAGTGAAACCCTTAATAACGAATACATTGGAAGAATTTATCAAATGTCGTCTTGACCATTTTTCAATGAGTTTTATACTATAATACGTAAATTTCAGTATATGCGAAAATAAATAAATAGCCATGAATATGCGGGAACAGTTTTAAAGAGTTCCATATAATCATTTAATTAAAAACTAAATATCTGCAACATTTCATAATCAGAAAGTGAAGAATAAGACATTTGATGAATTCTTTCGATGCATTGCTTATTAAGGGTTCAACTGTATGAAAAAAGAAGAAAAATGCAACAACTTAAAAAAAAGAGCTAGGAAAAGATTTGCGGGCATTCAAAAGCTTAAACAATTCCAAGGAAGGATTAGCTGATTTCTAGATAACATATGATAATCAACTTATTTCTAGATGATGGATGATAATCAGCTAAGGGCGTATGCTAGACATCTAGGAGTTTCCTTTCCTCTGCTAAAAGAAACAGCGGAGAAGGGAAGATTGCCTGTTGTGAACTTTGCTGCCGGAGGAATAGGTAAAGTGTCCCACGAAACATGACAATTGTTGAATAGTTTTGAAGGCCTTCTTTCATATACTTTATTAGATAGTAGTAAGACTTTTTGCAGTTTACTTCGTTATAAATTGTTTACTTCAATATATTTTACTTTGAAGTGAATTTTACTATAATATATACCTGATCATATTTTGATCATTCTCTTTNTATTATTATTAATATTATTGTTGTTGTTGTTATCTTACGGTGCTTTGCTGAGCAGATTACGTTTGATTTTATTTTCGACAATTGAACTAATTTCAAGAATTTGTGAGATCCTCCACCCAGTAACATTCCTCGTTCTCCACCCTAATATATTTTCATTTCTTTATCCATTTATTGGTTAGTGTTAATAAAATATTAAATTATTTTCCGTTTGCCCCTCAACCCCCTTGATTTATACTGTATTCATTTATTTACTTTTATCTATACATATAAAGTAGTAATCTCTGTTAGGATGTTTGTATATCCGAGCATATCAGGAACCCCTTGACCGATTTGCCTTAAATTTGTAATTAGGGAAATTGGGAGAACCAAAGGAATGTTCATATAGCAAAATTTAAACAGTGCAGTAGATTCATTTCATTATTATTTATTAGTTTCCAATTAAAGCTGGGTTTCTTAGGTAGTTTATTACGTTTAACACAAAGCAAAGTCTAATACTGTTCAATTTGATTCTTCTCAAAATTAATAAAATTTTATAAATAAATGAATAAAATAAATAGCCATGAATATGCGGGAACAGTTTTAAAGAGTTCCATATAATCATTTAATTAAAAACTAAATATCTGCAACATTTCATAATCAGAAAGTGAAGAATAAGACATTTGATGAATTCTTTCGATGTATTCGTTATTAAGGGTTTCACTGTAGAAAAAATTATGTCATTTTCCAATTCCACAATTTTATGACTCGCACTGTATGTCAATTTTCAAATGTGCCGAAAAGTACCTATAGTATTAATAATTGTTATTTTATATTACATTTTAGGATAAAAATAATTGATAGATGTTAAGCTGTAAGATTTCTTCAAAAGGCATCAAGATGCAATTTCTCTTATACGGTTTAAAAGATTTCCTAATAGTAAGCGTTTATATCAATACAACGCTAAGAATATTCTACTTTAGCATCGGGGTTTGTCAAGCTTTTCTTAGCATATCTGCAGTATGTTTTCAAGATTGTGCCACACAATCAAAAATAGAAATTATTTAAACATAAACAATTGTAAGCATTTATCATAGCTTAATTTTAGTTCTGTATACGGTATAAATTGTTTGTCCTGTCTGTATTTAATAAACGTCTGAACCGATCGGGTTCAAATATTTTATGCCAACTCATATGACCCCATTTCAATTTAAATTGACAGGCTGACAGCTTCTCACTGTATGCATGTTTATTTGTATCTTCTAAATAAAATCTTGCTAGCAGAAGATCTAAAAGTTTTCTTGATTGAAAAAGAAAATTTTATATAATTTTTCTGTTTAAATCTATATATACCTGTATTTATAGGAACAGTCAATGAACTTCTTAATCCAAACATATTTAATTCATTGCCAAGCATCTCCTTCAAACTTTCATTACCACCTAAACATTTCTGATCACCAAAGTACAGGATGCTTTCCAGGTGGGGGTGGGGGAATTTTTTGACTTTTCATAGAGTGAGGGGCTAACTCTCGGTTTGAGACTGAATTTACCTTTCACCTTCCTTTCAAAAAGAAGGGGGGGGCCGGGGGGGGGACGCAACTCCCTGGATATAAACTTACTGCTAATATCATGGTGTCAATATTAACTTCCTTTTCTGTTCACTTGAAACATTTTGATAGGATTTATAACTTTTGAAGTAAAACTATATATTTTCCGTAAAGGGTCTGATCATGTTATTTTAAATGACCCATCATTTATAGAGTGGCATGTGTCGATTGCCCTTAAAAGTTTTGTGATAAAGATTGTATGAGACATATACACGTTTTAAATTTTGAAAATTGATTGTTTTAAATTGTTGTATTTGTGTAAAGATGTTCCGCGGATTTCTTTTATAAACAATAAGGAAAGTTTTCACAAATTTAACACTTTAAAGCTGTAAAAACAACAATATATATTCAGTTGAAGATTTAAGTGTACCCGTGAGAATCGGGCATGCCCATTTATAAATAAAAAGGTCAGTTGAAATTACATTGTATAGTCCCTTTAATTTTTTACCTGCTAAGCTGTCAACTATATTAGGTTCCAAGCACTCTCCTAGTCTTCTATCCACTACCTAAACAGTTAAAGGGAAAGGTCAGATAAAAATGATGACCGTTAAATTAAATTTCAAATCAACTATTGAAATTTAATTTCCTTCTTTCTAGTATACAGGGTGTCCCAATAAACATGGGAATTGTGAGACGACTTGAAAGTCGTCTTTGATTTTTGATATTTAATGCATGACAAAGAATGTATAAAAAACGAGGCTGTATGTCTTACGAGGTTTTCATAAAATGGTCTGTATACATATATACCTTTCTTGTGTCTTAAAAATTTATGAAGATATTAGTATTAGTAAATAGTAAAAGTAACTCCAATCAAAAGATAATTTGATTATAGTTCATATCACAAAATAAAAAAAAGCAAAATATTCAAAAGTTTTCCTATGTTTTCAAAATATTAGGATCTATCTCGTGCCCATATGAAATTAAGAAATGGGTGAATTGGGGTTTGGGAGTTTGTTATTTTGATATCAATAGATTAATACAATAATTTTACCTGAACTCCTAATTTTCGAACTTTAATTTCAATATCTGGTTTATCAATGCTAAAAATGAGCAACAGTTTTCTGAAATTAAAAATTTTGATTTTTTTTTGATATCGCCAATTTTAATTTTCATTATTACTATTATGATAAATTTCATCATGGCTAATATTTTAAACAAGAAAGTTTCACATTTCCCAGTGGAGCAGTAAACAATACATTTGTTAACTTTGTACAATTCATTTTTACCTTACAAACACAATTTGGATTTTTTAAAAACTTTACAAAATTTTAGACTTGTTCCTTTGTTAATTGCTATTGCATTTTTTCTGGTAAAGAGAAAAAACGCAGCATAATTAACAAACACACTTTTTTATTAATTTTAACTTGTTATTGTTTTATAAGAAACTAGCGCCGCTGCCAAGGTTACTAAAAGTTACTTCCGCCGTTTACCCGCACTTGAGCTATTTTACCGGAAAACTAAAAGTTCCTTTTATAGTCGACCCAATAAACTTAGAATCTCAAAACCAAGCTAAAAACATTCCCGTGGGTCTCCCGCATTACCCAATTAAAATGTAAGACAAATAAGTTCAGGAGTTTCTGAGTTATGATCGGATAAACAAATAGACAGACACCCAGACAGACAGATAAACAGAGATGACTACTTTATACATATAGATATCTAATTAAATACAATGGTATAGGCCAAGAGAAAATAAAAAATGGCGATCAGCTAATGGCAGAGCCTTCTTGCTAGAAAACTAAGAAAAATCTAAAAATGACAATTTGTTTCTGTTAAATTGACACTTTTTTTATTCATAAAGTTGATTTACCTTCTCCACCATTTCTGATATTTCGTAATCTGCAATTCCTTTCTTTAAACTCTCAAATGCATTCTCTCCTTCCAGTAGGTAAAGTCTAAACCAAGGTTATATAATAACGTTGGTTACTCTCGATACGGAAAATGTCGTCTCCAAAGATAGATAGATAAAAACCTAATATGACGTAACTCTCGCCTCTGTAATTAGTGACGTCATATGGGGATTTTTATCTATATATCTTAGGAGACGACATTTTCCATACATTGGAGCGCAACCTTGGTCTAAACAGATTTTAGTTCGCATACGGAGGGACCCATTAAACTGTGGAATAGCAAGACGACTGTTGGACTAACAGTCATGATTTTAAATAGTCCATCAAACATTAAGCACACCAATTGTGCTGCGTACAGTGTAAACAGACCCATTTATCTTTATTGGTTGATTTCCTATCAAATGGTAAACATGTTTAGTGTATAACAACATGAAGCACACACCAGATTGTACAAATGTCGTCTTCATAATCCTCAGTATTTTGGGCCTCACTGTAATTCAAGTGAAGAGTACTTTTAAGGGATTGTTGAACTATTTCAAGTGAGGAGTTCTATTAAGGGATTATTGAACTATTTCAAGTGAGGAGTACTATTAAGGAATTGTTGAACTATTTCAAGTTATGAGTACTATTAAGGGATTGTTGAACTATTTCAAGTGAGGAGTACTATTAAGGGATTGTTGAACTATTTCAAGTGAGGAGTACTATTAAGGGATTGTTGAACTATTTAAAGTGAGGTGTACTATTAAGGGATTGTTGAACTATTTCAAGTGAGGAGTACTATTAAGGGATTGTTGAACTATTTAAAGTGAGGTGTACTATNCCCTGCCCCCCCCCCCCCACCAAAAATAGGGTTTATGGCCTTTTCATATACTGGCTGGTTGTTTTATATACTTAATGACCTGTCAATATACTTGTACCTGGCGGGTTGACTTATATACTTAATGGCCTGACTTTCTCTGCCTGAACCTATCAGCAGATGCTCAGGCTCTCCTTCATCCAGCTAAACCAATCATTTTTTTGGACTGTTTGTAATTTTTCTTTTTGCTTTTTATAAACAATGAAGAGAGTTGTCAACTAAAAGCTACTCTTTCTTTATTTAAACTTGCAAGTTAATAATGCTTGTTAGAGGTTAAAGCTTTATTAATAAAAAGTCGTCTTCATTGTTTGTTATAATCTCCTCTCCACTGGTGGTGTATGTATTGTGTGTCTTTTAACATCATAAACTGCATTTTTAATTGATGAAGATTGCCTTAAAGAGATTTGAAGATCGAGTTTATGTTTTTTTCATAACTTTTTCATTTTTATCATATACTACCATTTACAAAACAAATCTTTAACATTTTCTTAAAATGAGAAATGTTATGTTATTGAAAATTTTGAAGAATTAAAGTACTGGATTTCAATTTTAATTTCAATTTATGCAAAGTTGGATGTCTCTAGGGAACCATTGTGAATCGGACATGCAGATATTTTTTTTTTACGGAGGACCAATTAAAAATATGTTAACAGATAGTGAGAAATCCCGATGATATTTAGTTTTGGATATTTAAAAGTTTTATTTATAATAAAAGGTGTCCTAGCTTTTTCCCTTTGAATCTGTTGTGCTAACAAGCTTTAGGCCTACAGAGAGAGACAAAATTTAACAAAACATTTTTCAATATAATTAAGCTCTTCGCTCATGTATTTACTTATGTATATGTTAGCTATGGCTGGCCAAACGACTGGACCAAGTTGGCTGATTTTTTTAGGGCACTAATTGGTACCCTGGGGGTAACATAGGCTTAAAAAATCGATTTTTTTCAAAAATCGAGTTTAAATTTTTTTGTTCAAAATTCTATTTTTTTCACGATCAACTCTGGGCACGTTTTCACTAGTATATTATATAAACTGTGTGCCACTAAAACAACCAGGCACAGGGTTATCCACAACAGATAAGACTGTAAAGACGATCTGAAACTTTCAAAATATGACAATTCGATTCCAATTAAGTACTCTGCCTTGACAACAGTCTTTTAATGGCTTACATAATGATTTGTCAAAGAGAGAAATAAGTTTACAATTGCAGGAAATCATGTATATAAAAAAACGGAACAAATCCTGCAGTCGTCTTTGCAGTCACATCTTTTTTGGGTAACCCTGTAAACTATTAAATATGCAATTACAGAAAATAGAAGTAAAATTAATTAAGTAATAATCAGTATTTATTTGAATTAAAGTATTTAAGAGACTGTAGACTGTGGATGCAAGTGATCCTTCACCGAGGGAGGGGTGACTGCGCACAGGGTTCTGGAATTGCCCCCAGGCTTTTGGAGTAAAATGTGAAAATTTATCCGACCTTTTATGAAAAGTCCTTTAAAAAGGGTAGCTTAAAACCAAAAATTGAAAAAAGAGCCCTACTACCTTTTTCACTGTCTTTGTTAAGATATTTGCGGGGAAAAAGTCGCAAAGGAATTGACTCTTTGCAACAAACTCTGATTTTCTAATCCCAATATCTTTGGATTCCAACGTCGTAAACCTTTGAAATTTCAAACTATGACTTTTGTTAGATCTAAAAATATAAGTTTGAAATATCAAAGGTTTACGACATCGGGTTCCAAAGATATTGAAAATCAGAGTTTGTGGCAAAGAGTCAATTCCTTTCAGTCCAAGTAGCCTGTGGCGATCACATAGTCTTGATTAGCCAAACTCACGAAATTTGTTTTAGCTTTTACATTGAAGATTATTGGTAAATTTAAAAAAATCTCTTTTTTTTTTAGCTAGATACATAAAGGTTTTATTTGTGCTGGTCTAATACATTTCAACATCTTATTTCCAGGTTTTCTTCTTGTAAAAAAGTGAGTTTTTCAAAATACCAAAACATTATGCATGGCTAGACCTTTTAAGGTTGGGAGACTCCACGGTAAATAATTATATTTGCTCAATATTATCTACATTTTACCACCCCCCGAGAAATACGTTTACTTTATATACAAGTGTACAGTGTTAGATAATTTAGACATATCGTGATGTACACAACCGACCTCCCTATTAATTAATTAAGAGGGAGGTCGGTTGTGTACATCTGAGGTAAGCTTTACACCTCTTCGTTTCCTTTCTCTATGTAGAGGTGTATATGATTAAATAAAGGAAAGAACACACATAAGGATATGCTTAAATATCTGGATAAACGCATCAAAAATATGACTGTAATTGAAATATGAATGTGAGAGAAAAAATAAGTAAAAAGACTCCACCTGTTGAATTAATACATTGATTAATTTTCTCCATAAATTGGCTGTTTTCTGTTATATAATCCTAAAACAAGATTAAATATCAGAGTGAAGAAGAACTTTTCCAACCCTGGTCGGAGACCATCTTTTAGAGTTTTTAACTTAAGATCAAATAAATAGATCGTCTTTAGAGTCGAATAGAGGAATGCTTATAATGAATTTAAATATAAAAAAATCATTTGGGGCATAGATAGGACATCTCATAGAAACTCAATCGTTCATTCAACTGCTACCACTGAGTTTTTTTTTAGACTAAAAATGTGGTCCACGTCCAGGTAAAAATAAAATGGGACTCTGATTAGGTTCTATAACTGAAGATATAGGGAACAAAGGTTAAGTAAGTAGAAAAAACTTCTAAGGTTACACCGGTGTCAGATTAAGATTAATTTAGAGAAAAAGACAGAAATAAAAGAAATAATTGAATTTACTCTCTTTTTTATGATAAACAAAGAAATCTAAATTCAAATAAAAGATTTAAAATTTTTTTTAAAATCATTTGATTGATTCAATGTTTTACGTTACAGGAAATATTTCTTCTTAAAGGGATTGTAAAAGAAAAATGAAAGGGGATATAGGCTGAAACCTAAGCATTTTAGGAGTTGATCAAGACCCATGCGAGTTCTATCTTATGCTCTTGTATCGAGAAATTGATATAAAACTGTGTCAAATTCATACGAAAATCTATATATAATTGAAATGCTGTATAAAAATAGTAGGTTTAAACATGTACACAACCAATCTGAAAACGACAATATCCCAGAGAAGCCTGATATTTTAATAATTTTTCTTTTATAAGGAATATAATTAATAATATTTTTTACGTAAAATAATAATAGGAGAAAGTCTAAGTTTCTTAGGCTCCTCATGTTTTAGCTGAGGGTACTCAGGGATTTCATTGTTATCAGATTGGTTGTGTATTTGCTGAAAATGATCCGCCGTTAAAACCTACTATTTTTATACAAAATTTTTTATATATAGATTTTTGTATAAATGAATTGAGTTTTGGCCACAAATTCTGATTTTCAAATAGCTACATCTTGGCAACCTTTGATATCTCAAACTATTATTATCTGAACTGAAATAATTCATAGTTTGAAATATCTCAGGTCTCTGACATTGAAACTGAAATGCAAAGATATAGGGATAAGAAAATCAGAGTTTGTGACAAAAACTCGATTCCTTTGACACAGATTTATATCAATTTCTCGAGACAGGAACATCAGATAGAACTCTCATGGGTTTCGAAATGGTTTGGTTTCAGCCTATACCCCCTTTCATTTTTTTTAAAGTCCCTTTAAAAAGACTTTTAGCGAAGTTTGACGCTCGATTTTTTTACAGTTGCATGCAGTCCTTTCAACCTTACTCTGAGCAAAAAATACTATACCAGAGGTCGAATTTAAAGAATTTGAGCGGCGGCTTAAATATGGTGGTTTCACTTAAAATTGTATTCAATGTTTCAAGATTTAAGCCGGCGCTCAATTAAAACCGGTTTTTGGCCGATTTAAGACGCGGCTCAAATTCATTAAATTCGGGCACTGGTCTTTTTTTCAATCTGAAATTAATATATTTTAAGTTGTGGTACAATTTTTGTGAAACCCACCGTCACACATCAAAGGGTATATGATTGTTTTCCTTAAATAAATTTTAATTTGAAAATTTTTTAAAGTCAAACAGACAAACAGAAAGATATACCAAAAACTAATTTTGATGTTTTAAAAATTAAAAAAAATTGACGAAATTAGTATTATACAAATTGAAGTAAGAAGATTAAAGTACCTGAAGGTACAAAAGTGCAAACTGGTCTGCCTGGAACTTTTCAGGATTTTTCATACTTTGGGACATATCACTTGTGGTAGAACAACATTTTTATACGCAATCCAAATAAAGAGAAAAAAAGGGAATTTTTAAATGTTTAAAGGGATTGTAAAGGAAAAAACTAAAGGTGGTATAGGCTGAAACCAGAGCATTTCAGGAGTTGATCGAGACCCAAAAGAGTTCTATCTGATGTTCAGAGAAATTGATATAAAAATGTGTCAAAATTATACCAAATCTTATATATGTAAGATTTGGTTTAAGATTCTTAGTTTTAAACAAATCATTTTCAGCAAATACGCAACCAATCTGAAAACTACGATATCCCAGAGAAGCCTGTAAAACGCAAGTTTGCTTCAGTTATTGAACTTGATAATTTTTCATTCTAAATATTAATTGATAATATTATTTATACGTCCGTAACACGTGACCAGAACTCCCTCCAATGGCAGTGCAGTATACTGGTCACGTGATACAGATAAAGACACGTGTCAACAACTCTTATTGGTATCAATCAACTCCTTAAATGCTCAGGTTTCGGCCTATGCCCCCTTTCATTTTTCCTTTACAGTCCCTTTAAACAAGGACTTTGTATAGTAATTATAATATACAAATAATTTAGAGAGGGGGGGGGAGGAGAAGTTGTGCCTATCCCTCATCAGTTTTTGGAGATGGAATGTGTGTCAATTCTTAAACCCCAGTGGTGGTTGTAAATGTGAAAATTTTGATTGTAAATATACATATTAATTATTAAAAATGTCTACATTTATTTCAGAGGCATTTTTCAATCTAATAATTCTAAGTTTTCGGGGACAATTTAATGAATAAGTTTTTCCAGGGGCAGTTTTATATTTTTAATTCCAAGTTTCAAGGGACATTATCAATATATTTTTACCCGGGGTAATTTAATTATATTTTCAGGGGCCTTAATTATTCTTTTTCTCCAGACCAGGCTTGTTTGGATAAAATAAAGATATTGAACTTCCTTTGTTTTTTCTCCTCGAGTTCAAGGGCAAGGTCCAAATGAAGATCACTCGCTGAAAAATATTATTTTTAATTTGAGTTTATTCACAATGTTTTATAAAAATAATATTGCATGCAAAGTTGCTGCACCACTTGATTTAAATAAATACACGTACATGGGTATATTGGCTCCTGGCCTAATATAATTCACTGGAAGTCAAATTTAAAATCATATTTTAGTAATTTTGTAGTTAGTTTAGTCAAGAAATTTAGTGAAAGTGAAACAAAATCTACCTGGAACCGCATCCTCCAAGGGAACAATGTCAAATTCTTTGTTCATGTTCATATTCTCAATTGTGTCAGATATAAGTCGACCTGAACAATATTGAATTCTATATTAAAGTTCATATTCTCAATTGTATCAGATATAAGTGGACCTGAACAATATTGAATTCTATATTTATGTTCATATATTCTCAATTGTATCAGATATAAGTCGACCTGAACAATATTGAATTCTATATTCATGTTCATATTCTCAATTGTATCAGATATAAGTCGACCTAAACAATATTGAATTCTATCTTGGTTTTAGAAATCAGTTTTAGAACAATATATAAACGTTTTTATTTTACTTAATATAGGCCTCTTAGCAATCTAATAAAATTGAAAAGAACGCCATTCAACTTTGTTTTTGATGAACTTTCTAAAAACTTTACTCAGAAAGCAGTTTCTATTTATTCTATTTAAAAATCATGTATCCTAAACAAAAACATCTTTATATTCTAAATACTATTTAAATAAAAACCTTATTTAATTTAAACCAATTAAACAAACAGAAATAAAAACTTACCAAGCACAGGTGCATTGGCACCATGTAACACAGACACTACACTTCCTAAATATTGTTTTAAATGATGCAAAATTATTTTACTGCACACCCTTTGACCAACGTTAACGACCTATGATTCCCCCAACAGAGGAACAATAGGTTACTAAAAGTCCCTTGGGACAATTAAGCAAAAAAGCGCACCAAAAGACAATAGTTGTGTAAAACTAGTTTTTCGGAAACTTTAAAAAGTTTACTTTAAACCTTGGGAATTCCCTCCCAATTTTAAAAATCTAAATTTGTCTTGGGAACCTATTTGGTAAAGTAAAATTTACTGAACTTTCCGCTAAACTAGTTTTAAATAATTATAATAATTCAAGGTAAGTCTATTGCATTTAAAAACAGGAATAAAATCGATGTCGTCTTAGTTATCTATATGCCAATTTTTGATCTGTAAAATCCTATTTCAGGGTGTTTCTTTTTTACTATACCGTTTACAATATTATTAACCTGAAATTAAAAGAAGCCAAATAGGTTTACAGTGTCCTCTAAACATCTTTAAAGCATCAATACTGTCCGCTCTAAATAAAGAAAAAGGTTTAAAATGTCCTCTAAACATCTTTAAAGCATGAATACTGTCCGCTCTAAGTTAAAGAAAAATGTATAAAATGTCTTCTAAACATCTTTAAAGCATTAATACTGTCCGCTCTAAATAAAGAAAAAGGTTTAAAATGTCCTCTAAACATCTTTAAAGCATCAATACTGTCCGCTCTAAGTTAAAGAAAAAGGTTTAAAATGTCCTCTAAACATCTTTAAAGCATCAATACTGTCCGCTCTAATTTAAAGAAAAAGGTTTAAAATGTCTTCTAAACATCCTTAAAGCATGAAAACTGTCCGCTCTAAATAAAAAAAAGGTTTAAAATGTCCTCTAAACATTTTCAAAGCATCAATACTGTCCGCTCTAAATAAAGAAAAAGGTTTAAAATGTCCTCTAAACATCTTTAAAGCATCAATACTGTCCACTCTAAGTAAAAGAAAAAGGTTTAAAATGTCCTCTAAACATATTTATAGCACCAATACTTTACAGTATACACTATGTTTAAAATGTCCTGTAAACATCTTTAAAGCATCAATACTATACACTAGGTTTAAAAAGTCCTCTTAACCACATTAAATCATCGATACTGTCCGCTTTAAATAAAGACCAAGTGTTGCTCAGGGTACTCATAGCTACTTCTGCTGTTTACCCGCACTTGGTTGTTTTTTCGGAAACTAAAATTTTCACTTTAAAAGACGACACACTTGACTTAGAATCCGACCTAAGAACATTCTCGTGGGTCTCATAAGTTCCCCAATTACAATTTGAGGCAAATCGGTCCAGGGGTTCATGAGTTAAATTCGGACAAACAACCTGACAGAGAGATTACAACTTTATATAAATCGATAAGAATAAATTTTGATTTTTAATCTGAATGATTTCTACCTTGCTACAGCACACTGCAATACATCATCTCCAACCTTTGAATACATTATTTTTTAAATAAACTTTCTTGTCTTTAGAATTATTTTTTATTTTTGTCAATTGGTTCTTATATTTGTTTGTACAATTCTAAAGTTTCAGTCAAAATACTTTCTGGTCTTTTCCTTTTAATTTTAACAGTTTTGTTTACTTTAAATGAAAAAAAGGGTTTGAAAGTGAAACTGCAGATTAGATTTTTTTACTAATTGAATCTCGGCCTAAGAACTATAACAAAAAAGAGTGTTGTACAAAAGAGCCAAGCAAAACTTTATTCATATTTTCATCTGTAATAATTCTAATTACAGTGAAAACCAGAAAAGTGTGAAATAGAAAGACGATTTTTTACTCAAGTAAATTTGCAGTGTGAACAAACCCAATTTACTCAATAAGAGATTTCTAAGTTACTTAGAGAAAATCTTCTTCATTTGTAACACCATTAAATATTCTATTCCGCAGATTTTTGGTTCTCACTGTATAGGTGCTTGACGGATAAATTTAAGTTTAAAGGATTCATGACAAATTCAAAGTTTTAAATGGTAAAGATCTATGATATTTGGTTGCAAGAGTTTTTTAAATGAAATTTAAACGAACTAGGCTTTTAGAGTGCTTCGCAATCATCTTCGATTTTAATTGTGAACATGTTCTCTTTGTATAAATTTAAAATAAAAACAAAACAGAAATTTCATGGATTTAAAAAAAAACAGACAGAGAAGCAAAGTATATATATAGAAGCATTGTAATTATAGACACAATTGCTTTTATCGAATGGTTTTTAGTTGCATGAACATTTTGTATAGATTACCTCTAGCTTTATTTTCTTGAGAAATCCTGCCATTGCCATACAAGGTCCAGACCATTCATTGTACACATCAACTACAGTTAGCACTCCCTTAACAAGAAAATTTTGCAAAAGACGACATTCGAAAAAATGTTTTTTCTTTGATATTTTAGTTTTAGTTTAAAAAGAATTACAACATTGTTGCCATCTTTTTATTTTTCCATGCTTATTCTTTTTTATTTTCGCAAGAAATGTTTCTGTAAATTTTGGCGATCCAAGGAAGGCAGACAACATTTTATAAAGCTCATAAGACATACCACCCTTTTCTGATACATTATTTGTCATTTATCCACTATTAAAAATAAAAAGACGATTTTCAAGTCGTCTCTTAATTCCCATGTTTATTGGGACACCCTTTATTTTAACAGTCTCAGAATCCCAGAATCATTACATCAATATCTGCATCTGCATCTGATTCATTTATCGTAATGTTTTAAATAAAGAGTTGTAAGCTCTCTATTAAACTTTAAATGAAAAGGAAGTTAGATAAAAAAATCTTAATTGAAACTTCTGGGTTAAACAAATAGGACAGAAAGAGGAGTTTGATCTAATCTTAAATATAAAAAGAAATTAAAAATTAGGTACAAGGGGGGGGGGGGCAGGGGTGAAGGCTCAAAGTCGAATTGAATGATGGTTGTTTTTAAGCTAACCTTTCGGATGTCTGAAAGAGAAATGACTATTCTATAATTAAGTTTTATTAAAACATATTATTTGAACGGTTTAGTTGCCTGACCTAGAGCTTGCAACAAGGCACATCGTTTCTATTCATATAAGAGGTTAACAAGTAAAAATAATTTTCCCGATTTTTACAAATATTTACAGTGAGAACCAGGAACTTGACTCAAGTTATGACTTTAAATAGTCCTAGGAACATAGAAAACAGCAATTGGGCAGCATGTTCACAGACCTATTTTACTAAATTAGTGATTTAATAACTTACTCATACAAATATTTGCTTTGTACCAACATCCAATGCATTTCGGTTTTGATTTAATGTCACCTTCCTATTCTGCTCATCACGTTACATTTCAAAGTCGGAATGGCTGCCTTGTCATGGTTCTGTTTGGCTTATGAACTAAATTTTTTATAAAAAAACTAGAAAATACAAACATGTAAACAATTTTAGTTCATTTTCAGGCCGAATTATATTAGTTCCGGACAGCTCTTCAGCGGCTGAACTTGAAATAGAAAGTGTAAACTTTTAAGTGAAAGGATTTAAGTTTATTATCTGTACAATGCACTTTTATACCTTAGAACTAGTAATTTCTTCCCATTCCTCATCATTATTTACACAGACTGGGGTATCATGATCTTTTATTTTTCGAGCCATGCTCACATTTTAAACATCTAGGTATAATACTTAACTTTTATTTTTAATGCTTTATCACACAATTCTTAATTCTAACTCATAGCGAACTCTAAACCCTGAATATAAAACGTGGAACTAAAACTGAAATTAAACCCTGGAACTCTCTGAACCCTGGAACTAAAGCCTGGAACAAAACCCTGGAACTAAACCCTGGAAATAAACCCTGGAACACATACCTGGAACTAAACCCTGGAACAAAACCCTGTAAAAAAACCCTGAATCTAAACTTTTGAAATAAGCAATGGAACAGAACTCTGAAACTCCCCTGGAACTCTAACTCCTGGAACTCTAACCCCTGGAAAATTAAACCTTGGAGCTCTAAACCCTAGAAAACTAAACACGTTAACTATAAACCCTGAACTAAACCCTAGAAGTAAACCATAAAACTCTAAACCCTGGAACTGAACCGTAGAACTAACCCTTATAGAATCTAAACCTTAGAACTAAATCCTTGAACTCTAAGTCCTGGAACTTTAATCCACGGAACTAAAACTTGGAAATAAACCCTGAATTTCTTTAACTTGGAACTAAACCCTGGAACTCTAAACCCTGGAACCTAACCATAAAGCTAAACTCTAAAACTAACCGTGGAACTTAAAGGGAGTGTTCGCGAAAAATGAAAGGGGGTATAGGCTTAATGCGATAAAAAAGCGCTTTTGATCGCTACTAATCTTACTTCTATATCTGTTGCGTCTATAAGAAGAAAATTGTTAGAAACGACTCACACGGAAGAACGCAGCGCCCATACAAATTCGGAAAGATGCAACATTCAACTCGGATCGTAAACAAATCAATTTAATTCTAATGTTGCATCTTTCTGAATTTGTATGAACACTACGTTCTTCGGTGTGAGTCGTTTTTAACAATTTTCTCCATATAGACGCAACAGATAGAAGTAAGATTAGTAGCGATCAAAAGCGCTTTTTTATCGCATTAAGCCTATACCCCCTTTCATTTTTCGCGAACACTCCCTTTAACCCTGACACTTAAACCTAGAAATATACTTTTAAACTAAACCCTGGAAATAAACCCTAGAACAAAACCCTGGAACTAAACTCTTGATATCTTAAACCTGGAACTAGAACCTGGAAATTTTTCCTTTGTACTAAACTCTGGAACTAAACTCTGGAATTAAACTCTGGAACAAAACTCTGAATTTCTTAACCTTGTAACTAAACCCTAGAAATATACCTTTGAACTAAACCCTGGAACTAAACATTAGAACTATTCCCTAAAATTAAACCCTGGAACTAAATCTTGAACTCTGAACCCCGGAACAAATCCCAGAAAGTCTAAACCCTGAAACTAAACCCTGGAACTTTAAACACTGTAACTAACCCTTGGACCTCTACACACTGACACTAAATCCGGGAACTCCAAACCCTAGGATTAAACCCTGGAACTCTAAACCCTGGATCTCTAAAACCTGGAACTAAACCCTGAAATTCTAAACCCTGGAACTCTAAACCCTGGAACTCTAAATCCTGGAACTAAACCATGAAATTAAACCCTGGAACTAAAACCTGGATTTAAACATTTGAAATAAGCCCTGGAACTAAATTCTTGAACAAAACCCTGGAACTGAACCCTAGAAATAAACCCTGGATTTAAACATTTGAACTAAACCCTGGAACTCTAAATCCTGGAACTAAACCATCAAATTAAACCCTGGAACTAAACCCTGGATTTAAACATTTGAACTAATCCCTAGAACTAAATTCTTGAACTAAACCCTGACACTGAACCCTAAAACAAAACTCTGAAACTAAAACCTGGAACTTAACCCTGGATATAAACCCTAAAGATGAACTCCGGAACTGAACTCCGGAACTGAACTCTGGAACTGAATTCTGGAACTAAACTCTGGAACTAAACCCTGGAACTAATCCCCGGAGTTAATCCCATGAACTAAACCCTGGAACTAAACCCTGGAACTCAACCCTGGAACTAAATCCTTGAACTAAATCCTGGAACTAAACCCTAGAACTAAACCCTTGAACTAAATCCTGGAACTGAAACCTGGAACTAAACCCTGGAACTAAACCCTGAAACTGAACTCCGGAACTAAACTCTGGAAAAAAACCTTGGAACCAAGTCCTTAAACTAATCCCTGGAACCAAAACCTGGAACTAAACCCTGGAACAAAATCCTTGAACTAAACCCTTGAACTCTAAACCCTGTAACTCTAAACCCTGGAACTCTAAACCCTAAAACTTTAACCCTGGAACTCTAAACCCTGGAACTAAACCCTGGAACTTAATCCTGAAACTAAACCCAGGAGCTGAACTCATGATCTGAACCATGAACTGAACCCTGAAACTAAACCCTGAAACTGAACCCTGAAACTGAACCCTGAAACTGAACCCCGGAAATAAACAACATTTCGTTCTTGAATACAATTTCAACTGCGGATTTATTCTGAGACCTTCAGACAGACACAAATAGAATAGGGCCGACAATTGTTAAAGTGAATATTGAAGGTTTTATGCAATTGTGGGGGTTGGNAGGCGGTAAGGGGGGGGGGGAACATGAGGAGACACATTTGGAGCGGATATAGTATTATAGTATTGTGAATCTTCCGCGGTCAACTTCGCTACACAGTAGTAATCGTCTTCGTGTTTCTTGAATTTGTTAACAACTGCATACTCAGTTTAACTACCTCACATAGCCGGTCTGTCCCTTTAAAGAATGTGCTTGAGGGGACTGCTAACGCTAATTCAGGTGTTCTTTTTTTAAAGTTACACGCCTTATTTCAAGCTGGACAAATTCTGTCAATTTCCCTCTTTTCTCAGCTGCATTAATTTCCAATGCAACTTTTACACAGAATCTGCGATTAAAATTATGCTGTTCAAAATATATTTTAAGTTTGCGCGGAAAGTCCCTCAAAATAAATATGGTATTCACAACATAGATTTGAGATTGGTGCACCATTATGAGGCCAGGTGCGTGACTTTTTTTACCTAAAACTAACAATTCATGTGTCACGTTTGTGTTATAAACATTTTTAAGTAAAAATTAATATGTATTTGCATTGTACACTGCATACAACATAAAAACAAATTTTATGAATATTGAAAAGAAATATTTGCCACACAATAAGGTAAAAATAAGTTTTTTTTCTTTCTCTTAAAACTGGTCTAACCTTACTTTATTTTAATATAAGGTTATATCATTATAAAAATAATTACAATAACAAAGAATAGTCTCATCAAAGATTTCTAAGAACTGAGGAAGAAAGAAGAAAAAGTTTTTTTTGGTCAAAACTTAGAAAAAAGTTTGAGCACAAACAAAAATATGTAAGTATTTTTTCACACACCAAAATAAAACTAAATAATTTAATGGATTTCAAACTTTTAATATGAAATTGATCATATTCATATTAAAGACAAGAAAATTTAAATTTATAAAATTTGCGATCTTTCATTACAGGTCAACAAAAAATAAATTTTTTAGAACTGATCTTTTTGTTGATTTTGAACACCCTGAAATGTAAAAAGTAGAAACTAGAAAACTTGATTAGTTTACTTTTTTTCAGAAAACTTTTTCCAACTTTTCTTATTGTTTGAAAACTAAACAAATCTGGAAGGTCAAACATTTTCCTCCTTTTAGAGTCACTGACCTTTATAAAAAAACTATTAAATGCTCATATTTGTTATTGGGGAGGAATTAAGTCTTTGCCACAAACTCAAATTGCCCTTCTCTTAATGGTGTATATACCCTTCATATTCACGTATATGCCGACAAAAAAGTATTTAAGAAAAAAGGTTAAAAAATTATGTATAAGGGGTTAAATTGTGATCGAAGGTCGCAGCTTTCTCAAATATTGACAGAACCGTTAAATCCACATGTATTTCAAACTTAAATTATTTAATCTAACAGAATTCTTAACCTACGCCATTGGGGTTTGACGTCTGCGTTGCAAAGATATAGAAAAGATCAGAGTTTGTGTGAAATACTCAATTCTTCGACTTATTCGTTCAAATCGACAATTTCTGTTAGCCAGAAGTCAAATTTACCATGATGAATTCACATTTTTAATCACAAAACAAAAAAAATTTAAAAAAGTATATTGGAACGTCATATAAATATGTAAATTCCTACTTATCTTTATACTTACAAGTTTATCTCTAATAAGTAGTATCTTATGTGTACACGTAGAGTGAAGAATACAATTAGTGAAAATGATAACATATATTCTTATTTCTATTCTTATTCTTCTTTTCATCAACAAATATATGTTCAAGCCTAAAGGTACAGATTAAGGCCAGGGAGAACCAGAAAAAGGTGGAATTTTCATCGTCTTCTAATTTTTAAATGTCGCTAGGTTATAATATTTAAATTATATAATATTGTCCTTTAAACTGTTGTAACAATTGCAAATCACAAAATACTTCCTTTCTGAAGTAAAAGGAAGTAAAAAGATTAATTTAATTTCACAGTTTTCTGGTTCTTACTGTATTTAAAATTAAACGTTTTCAAAAATTTTTACAGCCCATTCTTAGATTTTTTTATCGATTTAAAACAATTCTTTTATGTATAGTCATGGTAGTTTTTAATTTTAGAAAAGAGAAAAAAGTTTTCGTCACATTCAATCTTTTAAAAATATTTTGAATTAAATAAACTTTAATCAAAAAAGGTTAAAATACAAGACGACATAAATGTTTATCTTATAATTCATGAAAACATGTCCGAATACTGATAGGTTTACACCCTCAGCTTGCAAAGATGATAAGATTAGATTAGATTAGATTAGATGATCAGAAAATTAGGAATTGTGGCGAGTTTTCAGTTCCTTTACTAGTGTAAAGAAACAAATTAAAACTTTACAAAAGACATATTTCAAATTTTTTTCTCCACTTTTTTGTGCAGGTTTTCCACCTGGCCCTGGCAGAATACCTCTTTTTGGTTCCTTGCTCTTCATACCATTGGTAAGAGAAACAACATCCCCAAACAGATTTTACATTTATAATTTACAGTCGTCGGCATTTATATCAATACAAGGAAGACGACTTTTCTGTTTAAGTTTTGATTTCTAATAAACTTTTTCCAAATTACAAGTATTCAAGTAAACATAGAGAAGCTGTTCATTGAGAGCTTCTCTTTGTTTCCATGTTTATGCATAACCGTGCTGTTTGAAAGCTTGGTAGAAATAAAAATTTAAATCAAAAGTCGTCCTCATTGTATTGATATATATGGCGGCGACTGTAATTTAATTTTAAATTTTAATGATTGTTTGTCACAAAACAATAAATAGTTTAGCTATAGTTCTGTCTTTAAAAATAACTTTAGCCTGTCTGTTTGTTTCTCTGTACGTGTTGTATCCAATAAACCTTACTGTACATGTTTTATCCAAAAAACATCACTGTGCGAGTTGTATCCAATAAACATCACTGTACGTGTTGTATCCAATAAACGTCACTGTACGTGTTGTATCCAATAAACGTCACTATACATGTTGTATCCAATAAACGTCTCTGTACGCGTTGTATCCAATAAAAGTCATTGTACGTAGTGTATCCAATAAACGTGAAAGTGCCTGAATCGATTGGTCCTAACAATTATAGTGGCTGCTCACTTGACCACTTGGAAAGTTTATAAACGGTATCGACAAAGTTTGTCTGAAAAAAAATCAACTTTACAGTCATTATCAGGAAAGTGGCATGAAGCGCCCGGTAATCCTTGCAATGATATAAAAACAATTGACTTTGTTGTGTAGGCTGAGCTAGGTGTAATGCAGATAGACTGAAAACATAATTAATTTGANGGGGGACCTGAGGATTGCAATTAGACTACAATTCTATTAGTATTATTTTAATTAAGATTAAGAAGTAGCTGGGAAACTATTATACAGGGTGTCCCAATAAACCATGGGTTAAAGATATAATAAAGGTTGCCACAACACACCATTGGTGGCTATTATACAGGGTGTCCCAATAATCCAAGGGGTAAAGACTATTATACAAGGTGTCACAATAAACCATGGTTTAGATACTATTATACAGGGTGTCCTAATAAATCATAGATTAAAGACTATAATGCAGGGTGTCCCAATAAATCTTGGGTTAAAGACTATTATACAGGGTGTCCCAATAAACCATAATTAAAGACTGTTATACAGTGTGTCCCAATAAACCTTGGGTTAAAGACTGTTATACAGGGTGTCCCAATAAACCATGGGTTAATGACTATTATACAGGGTGTCCCAATAAACCATAATTAAAGACTGTTATACAGTGTGTCCCAATAAACCTTTGGTTAAAGACTGTTATACAGGGTGTCCCAATAAACCATGGGTTAATGACTATTATACAGGTAGTCCCAATAAACCATAAGACTATAATACATAAAGGGTGAAATATATTCATGATATACAAATCAAGTAGTGATTACTACTGTGTTTTATAACTTTTAACTAGCATTTACAAAAACCATTTTTTTTTTTAAATCAAAACTGACCATCGCAAATGGCTATTTGTGGCCAAAAACCGGTTATACAAGTGATTTTTAAATTTTTTCAAAGTATGTCGATATGGGTATCTTTCAAAGCCTAATTCAACGCAGCAAACGGTTTATAAAAATATTCAAAAACATTAAAGTGGAAAACATTTGAGAAATCACTAAATTAGCTGTTTTCCCTAGTTTTCAGCTCCAACTTGGCTATTTTTCTTTATTTTGTAAAACTTTTTTTCCTTAGAGTATGGCTCGAAAAGACGGATCTTTTGATGCCCATATCGACATATTTTAAAAAAGAAAAAAACACTCGTACTAGCTTTTTATCACAAAAGGCCATTTGCGATGGTCAATTTTGATTTTAGCAAAAGTGTCTTTTGTAAATGTTTCTTAGAATTAAAAAATACATTGTACTACTTAAAATTAATTCCTCTCAATTTTCTGAAAAATCTTTCAACCTTAATATACAGGCTGTCCCAATAAACTATGGATTAAAGACTCTTATATAGGGTGTCCCAATAAACTATTGATATAGGGTGTCCCAATAAACTAAATAAATAAATCAAAAGTAAATTTCTCGTTAGACAGATATCTTACAGGTTTCAATCATTACAAAATAAAAAAAAACTTTAACCGAAATGAGTCTTTGCCACACAAACTCTGATGATCTAATCTTTATATCTTTGCAACCCAATGTCGTAGATATGTTTAATATCTTTAATAATAATAATATAAACTCTGTTAAATCAAATATTCTACGTTTGTAATTTGAAAGATTTACACCATCGGGTCATAAATAAATAAGAAATACAAATTCAGAGATTTTTACAAAGACTCAATTCTTTTCATTATTTAGATTCCTGGTGTGTTTTCAATGGGAGCAGATTGGTTCATCACAAGATACGGAAAATTGGTAATTTTAAATCTTTAAGAATTTAATAAGTTAAAATGGTCAAAATATTACTTTAGAAAAATTCAAACGAAAACTTAATCACAACTTTATGTTAAAAACAATATCGTAATTATTAAACTTGACCAAGGTACTACCCGGGTAGAATCTTAGAGTCTGAAACCTAGTCTTAGACGCCGGGCTGACCTCCTCAGACCCTCTGTTTTTGGAAAAAAATATCAAATTTCACCAAATATATGTAATATGAGCAAAAACCATTAAAATATTTGAGCATTCCTCTCCCCATCCCTTTCTTCAAGCACCCCTCCAT